CCGCGACATAAGCGCGAATAAATTTAATTCACGAGGATTTATGCCAACGACCGACCGTCCTGCCGGTGCGTTGCATCGGGAGTCTCGGGTCGTACCGCGCGCACGATTCAGGATTCGCACGATCGAAGACGCGCACGTTTATTCCACAATCTAATTTTCCAACGACATTGTTCGCCGAATAATCGACGTCTAGAGAAACGAAAAAAAGGGTAACACAGCAGCGTAGATTTCGACGAGACCCGGGAGTATGCAGTGAAACTTCCGTGTATGTACCCTCACGAGCAATCTCGGCTTCCGTTAGGGAAAAAAGTAACGTAAGAAAAGATGACTATCACTTGGCAAAATTTATTTCAAGTACTGAAATAATGGTTAAGCCGAATGTTAATTTGGCACAAATTTCAGTAATTCCCGATACCAAGTGGTAAGAGGTCCTTCCCTTACGCCACTCTTTCCCCTAACGAAAACCGAGCTTGCACGTCAGTGTACTAAGGGAAAAAGTGGAATAGGGGCAGAGCATCCTACCACTTGGTATCGGGAATTAATGAAACTTATGCCAAAGTAACATTTGATTTTACAGTTTTTTCAATACTTGGAATAAAAGGAGATATATATATATATCTTTTTTAAGAATTAATAGTCATTCCAATTTAAGAATTGCGAGGGTACGAATACTTCTGTTACTACACTGTATGTTTGTATACCTATGTATGCATTTATGTATGCATATGCTCATCAATGAAGCAACGGTGAAACAGTAGAACGGCGGAACGGTGAAAGGGGCGTGAAAGGCGCGTGCCGAAACTGGACTGGGCTGCAATTTCGGAGGAATCTTATCTCTCGTTTGCATCTTCGGTATCGAGTTACAGGCGGAAAGGAAGGGACCTCTACACCGAAACCGATCCGGAGCTTCTTCCTCTTCCCTGCCCTCGGTTTCGGTTCCACAACTTTGTCTCGTCTCGCTCTCTCTCCCTCTACTTCTCGATGTTAGGTGTCGAGTGAAACAAGCGCGAGAAAGACGGAGCAACGATTGCATCGATACATACCCAGAAAGTGAAGGGAACAGATAAAAACGGTGACCCACGTTTTTCTCTGTATTGTGTTTGCAGAGTTAATTAGCGTAATGCGACCCTCAACTCCGCTAGTCGTTGTCAACGATCGAATAGATCTCGGACTTGACCAAGCTCTAATATATTAGAGCACCACGAGACACACACCAGTATCAGTGTGTCTTCGACCCCCTGATGAAGCTAGCTGCAATGCTTGCGAAACGTTGGGAAAACAATTCCACAAGGACACGGCTTACATCCGAAAGCCTCAACAGTCAGAACTGTGTAATGCCGGGCCGTGAAAGCCTCAAATCTCTGATATTGGTATTGTTGTTTTCGGGCTCCATTTGATCGCCGCTGGGTCGTCGGAAATACGACCGTTGCTTCGAGAGCACGTTCGCGAACCGCAGGGATAAAGTCCGCCGCTCGGAGAGAAGAGTCACACGAAGGGACTGCGTGAACGCCGAGCCGCCCGTCCGTGAGACCGAGGCCAAGCCTGTGTGCGCGTCGCTCGGCCGAGCCTACAAGGAAACCCTTCTACGCGGTCGGCGCCGTGGCGCCTCGGAATCGAGCGATCGTCCGACACCGACATCACCGGCGCGTTTTAACCGTCGCCGTCGCCGCGTCGATCGAAATGCTTTCCATCCCGATCCATTCCCCTCTGCCTTGTCCGGGCGAAAACTCTTCCAATCTACAGGAGGACGGGAAGCGCCTCGTAAAAAATCGAATAGAACTCGTTCGGGCCAGTCCTCGAACAGAAACCGGTGGATGTTCGAAGCAATTAATTAGGCTCGTAGAGAATCGGTACTCTTGTTTTCGCTTCGTCTCCCGTCTCTTTGGTCTTTCTCGTCTTTCGTCACTGTGCTGTCGTGCGTCGCCGCGTTGGAAACTAACTGAACCTGTACGACTGAAAATTTAGTAGAAGGAAGAAAAAAAAAAATACAAGAAACGCGACGGAACGTTATTTCCATTAAGGATTCCCGTATCGGGGGGGTCGGTGTGCTTCAGCGTGTGAGATACTTCGAATGTCCTGTCCGTCTCGTCGACGAATCGAACCTTGGTTCGACGACCGCTGGAAACGGAACCTCTTGCCGCCCGCGTACCTATAGGTGGATATCTTCACCGTGCAAACTCGGCTTTTACTAGGGGAAAAACGGCGGAAGGGTAAGGGCCTCCAACCACTTGGTAAATTTATCCCAGATACTGAAATAAATGTTAAATCGAATGTTAATTTGGCATACATTTCAGTAATTCCTAATACCAAGTGGTAGGAGCATGATAGGAGGCTCTTTTTCTACGTCACTTTTTCCCCTAGCGGAAGCAGAGTTTACTCGTGTCTGTGAAATGAATGACATCGATTCAGGGAACTCGATCCAGCATCTTCTTCCTCGGTTTGTCGCGGTTTGAAAAGAAGTGGCCACGAAATAACGCGCGATCGAAACGCAAAAGTCTAGCTGGCGGCAGCGCCAGATGCCTCTTTCGTTCTGGCGCCGCCGTCCCAACGCCGAAACGCGATTACTCTTCTAACCGGTTCCCATTAAAGATCTTCTCTTCGCCGTCGCTCGAATATTTCCCCCTGGCGGTATGTTTGTGACGCGTCGCGATTGGACAAGAGACAGACGTGACGAGCAAGGACCCATATTCGACAAGCCGTGCACTTTCTAGCGATTTATTCCCTTAGAAAAGAAACTATTCGAACTGTTTCGCGATACGCTTTCGCCAGAATCGCCACGAACGATAGACGAGTCGTCGAACTGTCGAACACTACGATGGGTAATTTTTCGGCCAAGGAGCAGCTCTCACGTACACAATCTCCCACGAGACGGAAACATCGAGAAGAAGGAAAGGAGAGAAAAAAAAGAACAGGTGCGACTCCTCGGTTTCCATCGGGGTATGTCCCAGACCTGGGCACTTCCGAAATATTTATTTATTTATTTAATTAACAGGCAAGTAAGACCTTTGGTATACATGTACAGAACGGGATATAAAAGTACAAAATTATACAATAAGGAAAACGAAAGAAAAGAAAGCGAGAGTAATTATCTAGAGAGTATAGTATCTAGAGCTTGGAATTCTGAAGACAATGATATCCGTTTCAGCCGCATATGGCCATTAGTTTATGAAATATTTAATGTTCAGTGCCGAGGAGTCTTCGAACACTCATCGGGGATTCACTGTACAGAGATTACATTACACCTGAAGGTGTGGAAAGAATAAAAAAAGTCTACCTTATCGCTGTACAGGTAAACGTTGATGATTAATCTATTTAAGCAATTATGCTACCCATATAGAGTTCTGTGAAATTCCTGTTTAATAAGTGGTCGGTGTCTAATCGAGGGTTACGTTATCCATAAGTTAAAGTAAGCCAAGATTTCCGGGTTATCTACAATGCCATTTAGTATCTTGTGAGCAAAAGTGACATCGATCATTAATCATTGTACGTCTGCGGTCATGGGCGTAGCCAGGTTATCAGTCATAGGGGGAGTAATGTAATTTTTTTCCTCTGGGAAGCATAGGGGAAAGTCCAATTTTTTTCTTCTAAAGTAGTGCTATACGCATGAGGCAGCCTAAGTACAAAACGCTACAGCCCGCTGTCCAATAGATGCCAGCATGTTAATAGAAATAAATTTAATAAATGTGTCCGTCGTAAAAAAAAGTGATTGGAGCGGTTCCATTGCGATCGTAAGTTACACGTGGACGCTACGTTTTTAAAAAAAAAAACTTTACGGAATCTTTAATATTGTTCGCCAAAGTTTGGCACTTCTATTTTCGCTGTGCAGAAATAGGGACATTTTATACTTCCTAGGAAATGAAGTACTATTAAATTAAAATATTTTTAAAATACTTTTATTTAAATTTCATTATAAACGGAGGTTTAACTTTGATATCTAATAACTTGTTTGTCGATTCTTGCATAAATAAATCATAAAAATCGATTTCTACAATAGCTGAACTCTTACATGAATAGAAATAGGGACATTGACCTTTTGATACACGAAAACCGAAAGGTCGTCGCGTTCCTACGGGTTTGTTCACCGCCACGAAATCGATCCGTCGCGTCGCCGGGCGCGTTAATGCGATGGCGAGGGTGGCGAGGGTAACCGAAGGGTGGCGATCGCGGAGCCACCGCAGCCAGCGGCCGCGATCGGCAGAGCTTTGGTCCCGCCTACACGGATCTTATACGTGGCCGCGATGGCCGCTATCCAGTATCTCCGATTCTACGCTCGGAGCAGAGTCGCGCCTCGAAGGTGGAGACGCGTCTGCGCGCTCTGTCTCGCTCTTTTTCCGTCTTCGTTCCACCATCGCCGCCTCTCTCGCCCATTCTCGTTTCCCATCTCTCTTTCTCTCTTCTTTACCGACACCCTTTTCGACGGACCGAACCCACTCCGTTCTTCGCTCCGCGCCTCTCCCTCTTTCCCAACCCTCTGCCTATCTCTCCCCTTCGATAATTCCGAGAACCGACCCGACCAAGAACAACTCGACCGACCTCCCCTTTCGAATACGATGGCGAACATCCCAGAGTCCTTTGCAGTTTCCATCGTGACTTGAAGCAACTTTGGACCTAAAACACCGAATTCACATCCTCGATTTTGCACAGTCCCTATTCGAGACTTGCTCGAAACACCCGTGTCCGATCGAAGAAAATTCTCTACCCTTTTTCTCCGAACAGATGCCGCGGTTCTAGGTCTCGAGGAGGATGTTCCACGGGGGCGGAAGCGGTGGGTACGGCGGCAGTTCCGACTACCAGCAACAGTCCCAGCAGCAGCAACAACAACAGCAACACGGCCAGCAACTTCAAGCGCCCGTCTACGTGCCCTCTTCGAGGCCGAGCATTCCATCCGCAGCGACGGCGGCTGCGGCCGCGGCCGCAGCCGCCCAGTACCATTCCTTTCCTGGCTCTGGCTCGCCCGCCTGGTAAGTTCGGTAATCCTACGTGAAATACCTTATTCCGTTGGGTTACTCTTACCTCACCGACAATCATTTTTCATCGACATCAAATTTAATCATTTCGCCGACAATGTTTATTTATCGGTGTCGACTTCTAGTGCGTATAAATGGTTCTCGGTAAATATTGTCGAAAATTCAGTGTCGATGAAATCCTGTCTGTGAAATGATCGTCGTCGAGGTTTAAGGGTTAACCCTATTCCGCTCGTTCCGCCCGTAATCACGAACTGCACACACTGGAGAGAGCAACGCGTGGGCGTTCTTCCGCCCCCAAGACGGCCGATTAACCGGATTTCGTACGATCGGTTCTGATCGAAAGGGACAAGACGGCAGCAGCGGCTTCCTGGCAGCATGGAGTGGAGACGTACGCGGCTCATCACGCGCTCGCCGGACACGCGAGCGGATCTGCGTCCGCTGCGGCCGCCGCCGCAGCCGCCGCCGCCGCCGCAGCGATGGGGCCGCACTCCGGTCACGGGCATCCGCACGCGGCGCACCCGCATACCGGTCATCCCCATTCGAGCCTCGCCGCGGCCGCCCCGTTTTACGCGCAAAACGTCGCCATGATGTCTTCCTGGCGTGCATACGACGGAGCTGGATTCCAACGAGCATCACCATACGGTTTGTATTTAGAGATCGTTAGTGGATGGTGTCGACAGGGCCGTTCCTCGGTTGTTGGTTGGCCGGGTGCAAAAACAGAATCGCCGTTCTTATTAATTTAATATTGTTCAATTAAGAATTTGATACGCAGTATTTACTTATATAATAAAATATTCATTTTAAATGGATCCTTGAAAAATGAATGGTTTGATTTAAAATGAATAGCGATGTTGTGGTTGATAGAGACTATTAATTACCTATAGGAATTTAATCCACTAAATGTGGCTAAATGGCATATGGTATTTTTGGCTGTCCGTAAGGATAGTCCTTTCTAGTATACGAGTACTGTTACAAAGGTTGCATATGCAATTAATTTGATTCAATTCTGTCGGTCTAAGATGATCATAAGTATCGGGAAACTTTTGATTATTATTATTACTAGTCCAAGTTTTACATACCACGCCCTGGTGCGGGAGCACCTTCTGCACCACCGCCAGGAACGGCCCTGAATTTCGATTCGAATCGAATCGTGTCAAATCAAATCGAGTCGAATCAAGAGATGCCTGGCGGCCGTTCTTCCTTCCCTCGCCTATTCCTATCGAGTAGATTGTGCTCCGGTTGCGTTTCAAAGCGAGGGCACGATGAGATAAACGGGGGAGATCGAGCGGCCCAGCGCGCGAGACATTAACCAGACTGTAGGCGCGGTGGAAAAGCTGCCGCGCAACGACTGGACGGGTAAAAAAAGAAAAAACGAAAAAAGCTTCTTTCCTGGTCGACGAACGCAACCGGCCGCGCGTGGTGGGCCATCTGCAACGGAGAAACGATAGCGGCGTCTTTGAGACGAACTCTCGCGGGTCGAGTGTTCGTCCGTCGTGTGCATCAACTTGCGCCGCTCTTGTATTCTTCGCGATCCGCTTTTTTCCCACCATGGCCATCGGTTCCTGTGACCGCGCAGGACAATTCATGAACCGACGAAACCAGCAGCAAGGCGATCGTCGAACCGCGTCTTTCCATTTCTGGTTCCAGACACCGCGATGGACTTCCAATTCGGCGAGGGTCGCGAGTGCGTTAATTGTGGCGCCATTTCGACGCCGCTTTGGAGAAGGGACGGGACCGGGCATTACCTGTGCAACGCGTGCGGCCTCTATCATAAGATGAATGGAATGAACAGACCGTTGATCAAGCCCTCGAAACGACTGGTAAGTTCCCGGAATGTTTGCCGATCTTGAACCGGACCGCCGACGTCGGAATCGGGACCGTTTCCGCGAGACCTCCCCCCAGCGTCGACGCGTCCGCGACTATGAGCCATATCTAGTGATGGGATCGATACCAATACTATTGATTATATTCAATAGATTCAATACCCAAAGTGCTCAGTGGGAAGTATCGATACGTATCGAAACTTTGGGGTATTTGGTATCAATAACGACTCTTCTACCATGGATCGATACCAATCCAATACGGCACCGAATCGAAACCCGTTTGACACCTCACGAAAGTATCAATACCTCAAGAAAGTATCGATACCTATTTGATATCTAGACGAAAGATCGACACCTCAGGAAAGTATCGATATCTATTTAATATTTAGACGAAAGATCGATACTTCAGGAAAGCCTCGTGTAGGTATCAAATAGGTATCGATTCTTTCTGATACGTATCAATACCGTATTGAAACTTGGAGAAAGGGTATCGATAATATCGACACGGTATCAGTCACATCACTAGCCGCATCGATTCGATCGATCGGTCGAACGCAGATTCACGTTTTTCAGACAGCGACCAGACGGTTGGGACTGTGCTGCACGAATTGCGGGACCAGAACCACCACTCTGTGGAGGCGCAACATCGAGGGTGAGCCGGTCTGCAACGCTTGCGGTCTTTACTTCAAGCTTCACGGGGTGAACAGACCGTTGGCTATGCGTAAGGACGGTATACAGACGAGAAAACGAAAGCCGAAAAAAACGCCGGAACCAAACGCCAGACCGTCCGCCGGAGAACACGAAACCTCTACAGTTTCGATCGCATCCTCTCCATCCACGGGTAAGAATAACCAGCATCCTCTCATTCCGTGTCACTTCTGGCCGTGTCCGTTCTTCGCTCGACCTTCACGAACAAGCTACAGTACCGGACAAATGAATTCAGACAAAGACATTTTTTGTTGTATTTGTTGTTATGGTGATGCTACTGAAGTTCTACCCTGCGGAGTGTTTACGATTATTCCGACGCAAGCTTTAAAAATAATAAAATAACATTTATCTGTACATAGCTAGACAAAAGTATTCAGACGTTTCATTCGCAACCATAAAATTGTAATCTGAAACGGGAATTTCACGAGAACATTATAATTATACCTTCATTTTATCCATTATGGTACGAACTAAAAATTCAGCAAAAATTTTCAAACAAAACATCACAGACGGCTCAAATGGAGCGCAATCATTCGTAGTTTCCCGATGTGCGGATATTCCCAAATAGACGGTATATTCAACAAAATAAACAATTTGTTCGAGGAGAACATTTAGAAAATATACCGAGTATGGGCGACCTAAGAAAACAACAATTACACAAGACAGACGTTGATTATTTAATGTAACGTCAGTAGTATCCTTAATTCAAATACTACAGCAAACGGTTTTTGTTCGAAAATATTTGTTCGGTATAGTATGTCTGTTTCTTTTTTCCACGCGATTCGCAGAATTGAAGGTCAACCAACAGCAACAGCAGCAGCAACAACAACAACAGCAGCAGCAGCAGCAACACCAGCAACAACAACGTCAGCAACAACATCAAATCGACGCAGCAAAATCATCCAGCGGCGCAGCATCGAGCTCGACGGACAGACCAGTGTACCTCGGTCACACGTCACTTCTAGCAACCGGAAGCCTCGCCACCGTCAAAACGGAACCTCGAAGTTGCGACGGTATCGTCGGCCAGCCGTATTCCTCGTACTATCAGCATCCACATCAACTAGGCGTGTCCACCAGCGAGCATCAGCAACAAACGTATTACGGGAGCCAAGAGGCGCCTTACCATCATCAGCATCACGTCACCGCGGCTGCCAAGTTGCTAGCTTCCTCGTAACTCCGACTACTCTACTGTCTCCGCGACGATAGAACACACACACATACACATACAGATGACGGAGGAAATTTGAAATTGACGACGAAACCAAGAACTAAAAGGGTTTCGTACGTTCCCGTTCGCAATCCCGAAGAAATTTGCTCTGCGTCGATTTTCCTCCGTCGCCGGAAATAATATCGTTTCCATCGCGGACGCGACGGTGATCCCGCGGTCTCGTGTACTTTTCTCCTACGCTTGTTCCTCCGCAATCTCACGATCATTAAAACTTACCGTATACGCGCGAAAGCTACTTATCTTTAGTTACATAGTTTGTAAATATCCACCGTCGAACGAACGTCCTGGCCTAAGCCGCCGCCGTGTTTATCCCGCGATTCGGGTGGATCGTCCCAAGACGATCTTTGGGACACGCAAGATCGTTCGACATCCGGGAGCGGTCAGCTGCGCTATGCCGACGTTATTGTTTTTTTTTTCTTCGATTTTGCGGAACGAATCCGTTCGAGTGACCCGCGAACGGTAGGGACGTAAAGTGGAAAAACGATCGATAAAATTATTCTCGATCTTCCTGCTCGTTTCGTCGTTTCTTGAACCGCGTGCACCGTATACGGATCAGCGCGTCCACGATCGGTGCGTCGAGAATCGTTCGAATCGTTCGAATCGACCGGTTCTCTGTACAGTTCCTGTATAATTAGTTTTGCGACGCGCAATAAAGAGAAGAGCTTTCGTGTTCTTACCGCTTGTCACGAATCACGACGATGATGTTTTCACCCCGAGCTGTCGAGACGTCGAGTTGCGAACGATTCTACGACCGATCGAACGTTCCAACGTTTACGGGCCGTCGCCACCACCTTTGTCAATGTGCCTCTGTTTGGACGTCGGTGTCGGCCTCGTCGGTACTCGACAAATATTGTCTTTCCACGATCTAACAACCCGAGTGACGCTCGCACGCGTCAAACCTAACCCCTACCTGTCCGTTAGACTGTCCGTCGATCTCCCTTTCCCTAAGTCCTACCCCTCGATAAACCGAATCAGAACCCGTGACGACCGACAGACTTTTTCGTCGCAGTCACCGTCGTGAAGTCGTGAACGCGACACAACGCTTTCCGACACTGGTTTGCCTTCGATTCTTCGCAGACTACTCGCGTGTTGCCTTGTTTCGCCTCGGCTCAACTCACCTTGCCTTGCCTTACCTTGCCAAATCCTGACCGGTCGACCCTCGCCGCCGGCCACGGCCCTGGACCATCTTCGTCCGTGCACGATCGAAGTTTTTGGTTCTTGCGTTGGTCAGCGAACCGAACCAAATGGGTAAGTGGTTGTACATATTTTGTATCTTCTGGTCTCTTGTACAAATACGAACGAACGTCGCGGTTGCGTTGTCCGAACGTTTTTTCATCGAGAACAGGAAGAACGCTGCCCACCCCCGTGATCTGCAGTATTTGCGGTGATCGTTCCTACGGAAAGCACTACGGTGTTTACTGCTGCGACGGATGCTCGTGTTTCTTCAAACGATCGGTGCGTCGCGGTGCCCTCTTCTCCTGCATAGGTCTGATTCATTCTTTATCCTCGTCATATTCTACATCCCATTACGTTCGTTCCTCAATCCTTCATTCTCGTTCTAGCCGGCACCGGAATCTGTGTCGTTGACAAGGCGAGACGCAATTGGTGTCCGCACTGCCGTCTGAACAAATGCTTCGCCGTCGGCATGAACGCAGCAGGTAAGCAATAATCATGGGCGTAGCTACGAGCCTTACCCCACTCCCTGGACGAATGGAAGTGGCTTTTGCACTACTTTAGAAGAAAAAAAATTGTATTTTGCCCTCCCCCTTTTGAGAAGAAAAAAATTACATTACTCCACCACCCCTTCCGACTGATAATCAGGCTACGCCCATGGCAATAATCGTGTATGTTACTTGCGTTTCGTCGGGCCTCGAATTCAATTTTACCACAACTTTCTTGAAATGTTTCGCTACAACGGAAGCATACGAAAACGAAGTTTCACGCTGAATCCTGTCGATCGAAAAGAACGCCTATTGTCTGGACGTTCCGTTTATCCGATAACGAGCCAAACGAGATGCAAACATTGCCGCATGTCCGCCGTCGTATCCTTTGCTTCGCGCGTAACCACCCTTCGGCCTCGAACACACTCGACCGACGGATTACATATTTCGATTATTACCGGTCAGACGTCTGCCCCGTCCTTCCTCTCCATACCGATCACGGAAGACATTCGATCGAAAAGAGAATTTCCATTTTTCGCAGCCGTTCAAGAAGAGAGAGGACCGCGTGTTCGTAGCAAAGTAACTGCCACCGAGGGCGAAGTCGGTGTTCCGTGGAGAGTGCCGTCGATTAGACGTGTTGCGACGGAAATCGCATCGCGACCGAGTTTCTCGGCGAACCCGACGGTTCACGCTATCGGAACCGAAACCGAGACCAGTGTCCTGTCGACCTCAGTGTTGCATCCTGTTCGAGCAACGAGGATTTTCACCACTGGTAACGAGACCCAGATTACACGTGACGCTTAATGACGCCTTAAACACGCCTTAGACCTAAAATAATCGTATAGTGCATCTCCGAGCTATAGTGACTTCGTAAAACCAACAAGGGTTCAGATTATTCACGCCTTCAAGGGTTTCGGTGGCAAGTTCAGCGTCCAGTGGACGGCCAACTTTTTTTCGAAGTAGCAAATTATACATTTAGCGGCTTGTACCACTCACGAGCAAACACGGCTTCCGATAGGTATTCCAAACCGTAAAATACCGGTATTTTCGGTTGTACCTTCGCCCTATATAACCCTATAGAAACCGAAAAAATACCGGTACATATTTATTTTGGTTTCGGTATAGCTTTGATGGCATAATACCGGTATCAAAATCATACCGGTTTAAGTCCCTATAGCAATATAAAATGGTTTAAGTCCCTTCGCCTAAAGTTACTATAGAGTCTTCAAAGCGTCATGTGCTATCTGTGGAGTCTCGCCTAGCCAAAAGTCGAAAACAACTTCAACGTCCAAACTACTCTGCCGATCGATTGTTTGCAGGCGCAACGATGCGGTACGAGTTGGCCGCGGAAATATTTCTCGCGACGGTGCGTGCTGCTCGCAGGCATCGTGAGTTCTCGATGCTCGAGCCGCGAGAACAGAACAGAATACTGCGAAGAGGATGGGCCGCGGTGTTCGTATTCCACGCGGCGATTTGGCCGATCGATCTTTCGGCTATTAGAAACCGTGACGTATCGTCAAACGAAGTTGTTGGCTACGTCTATGATCCTCTAGCCGCGGCACGTTCTTCCGTCACCAAGTTGCGACTCGACTCGATCGAGATCTCGATACTGGAAACCTTGGTTCTCTGCCGTCCCGGTAAATCCCCATTTTACGGCTATTTTACGTTTAAGACGCCTTTAAGACATCTTCAAGACGTCATGTGCTATCTGGGCCGCGTATAACCGGCGTTCATTCTTTCAAACCACTTCTTTTTCTTCTTCTTCTTTATCCACGGCATTTAGAGATCGCCGAAACCGCAAACGGCAATCGTCTGACAACCCGTGCAACGGACACTGCGGTCGAGGCTCTCGTTCGTCACCTAGACGAGCGATCTGAGGCACACTCCTCGCGACTGGCCAGGATCATGCTGATCCTGCCAACTCTAACGGCTTGTTGTCCCCGGGATTTGGCTGGTCAACTTTTCGCACCTATCATCGGCGACACGGATCTCGAGAGGGTGATCGAATCTGTGCGTTGATTCGCGTCACTCGCTTCACGAAAGGACGTATCATCTAGTCAGGGTAATGTAGCCGATCGATTGTCCCAGATATCTTGGTACCGTTCAGTTTCCTCCCTTTCCTATTCTTCTACCTCTGTTCTTCGTCGGCTCACTGTCTCCACAATACAACGGATCGAATCGCGAATTCGATCAAGACGATATACTTCGAATTCTACCCGTGACCCTCGTATCCAACGTACCCTCTCACCCACATGCAACAGAATTTCACAAACATGAGAAACTTGTCGATTGTATTTTCTTTGGCACTTTATTCAGGCAAATTTAACAATTTTACGAAATTTATGTACAATTGCTTAGAAAATAATATGGCGCATCAGAGAACACGACGAGAACGTAGATGGAAACGAGACCTGCTTTGTTTCTGTATCCGCGATCGCTAAGTCGCCTTCCTCTGATTCGAAGGCGGAATCGATCGCTTGCAAGTTCACGATCGACACGGGTAAACGAACGGAACATTAAGAACGGGTAAAATAATATAAACGAGGATGTACGGATACCGGGGGAGGCTTCCCACGCTGGGGTATTTAGTGATAAATTAGAATACTTAGACTTATACGACGCAAACGTAACGCTCGAAACGGTACTCGAACCAGTTTCACTGTCGCCTGAGAATCTCCGAGTAATCCCATTCGTGGTAAACCTAATCGCGACGCTTTGGCTGACGCTCGTTAGATACTTAATCCGGGGATCCACCTAAGCTAAGCTAAGCTTACAAATATTTGCCTCAATGCATATATACGGAACCACTTTCACAGCATACATACATTAAATCCTCGATAAGTGTTCAAAGACTCCTCAATACTGAACATTAAATATTTCATAAACTAATGATCATATGCAGTTGAAATAAATACCATTGACTTCGGAATACAAACTCTATCACTGTCCTAAACTTCATTAAAAAGTCAACGTTATATCTGGGGACTTTTCATTGTCAGTACCGAACCTTTGAACACTCATCGAGGATTTAGTGTACATACATACATACATACAGCATAGCATAACTTAGCTTAGCTTTCCAGTGGATTCCCGGCTTTATTCTCGACTCCGTACGATCTACGAGATCATCGCGAGCGTGTCGAGGTAATTACAGTGCCATCGCGACGGGTCTTCCACCCATAAAGCACCCTAATAATTCCCTATACCAGTAACTATAGATATAATAAGACTACGGATACCATTGTTATCAAGGGGTCGTGGATATTGGGTGCCCGAGGAACCCAGTGTGAAGTTAGGTCTCTATCACCGCCAACGAGATTCTCATAACGTAGAGGTCACTAAAATCACAGGCTTTTTAAGGTGTCGGTACTAGAGTTTAGGTGAGCTACCAACTCCCATAAGATGAAAGGTCTATTCTTGTATCTCGTCGGTGCCTACAACCACGAGCAAACTCGGCTTCCGCTGGGGAAAAAAGTGATGTAGGAAAAGGGCCTTCTACCACTTGGTATTGGGAATTACTGAAATTTATGGCAAATTAATATTCGATTTTACATTTGCTAAATTCGATTAACGAGCTAAATTAAATTTACCCAGTGATAGGAGGCCTTTCTCTTACGCCACTTTTTCCCCTAGAAGCCGACTTTGCTCGTGAGAGTACATACTACTATTATGGTAAAATAGAGCAAATGGCGCTCGTTTTTGAGGCGCAGATTTATGACCCCTCGACAACAATGGCATCCCGTAGTCTTATTATATCTGTAGTCACTGCCCATACTCTATACGTTTCGCGAGCCGACTGTTGCAGCGATCGGTCCTACTTGCGATTCGCGGTATTTTGCGTGAAAATCCTCGTCTATTACAGTTAACGTTTAAAGTTAAAAGTTCACGCAGTACGTTGCATGTTAGTAATACTTCTTCTTGAATTTTCGATACCGCTCTTATACGTACCACAACATGTCCGCGTTGCTGAGAAGAGCCTCTGTCACCCGACAGCATATGGCGGCCATGTTAACCTGAGCGGTCAGATCGGTACGATCGCAGGGATGAACGTACCGCGGTGGAAACAGGGACGGTGCGACTATCATCGACACGTTATGGATCGACATTTTGTTCGCCGTTTGATTCTCGACGACCAGTTTTAAGAACGTTACTAGCGCTTTCAAGGTACAACGATGCTCTATCGGTAACAGTAGAACCAGCAAATTCAACGAGTGCGACATCTCTTGCCGATCCTTCACTCCTGGACGCACAAAAAAGAAAGGCACGTGTATTTAAATCGAATACGTCGCGAGGAATGCATTGCTCGTTCGTCTTTCTTATGTATTTTTCTCTTGTTCTTGTATTTTCTATTTTTTTTTTTTTGCTTTCAATCACAAACGAAGTATAGGAGCAGACATTTCATCTTTTGGGAGTTGGTGACCCACCTGAACTATTGTACCAACACCTTAAAAAGCCTGTAATTATGGCGACCTCCACGTTATCAGGACGGTGAGTCTGCGGTGGGTAGTGACACTAAAATCGAAATGCACCGTCGCCCCAGAAAAGTGAGCCGAAAAAATACATTCGATGAAACGTCTACTCCTATACCTAGTCTGTGTTTCAATGCTTGGAAGAAAAAACACTTTCCTCGCGACACTGGCCAGCAGTGCGCGCGAACGCACGATTTGCATAGAACTTTTGCGTGTTCTCGCATAGTACTCGTGGTACTTACCGTGACTCTGGTAGAAAGCGTCGATAAGCTCGACGGTGAGCAACGGTTGCGGTAGATCGCGTAGTAACTTTTTCAATACCGCCGACAAGTCGTGACACGGCATGCGCTTGAATAACTTGTCCATCTCTCTCGGTTTGCAATAGAAATCCGTTTCCAACTGTACGCATATCGACTCGACCTGAACACAACGACGATTTTTCATTTAGTGGAAGGCGTAAACATAGAAAATATAGACTGCGCATCCCCTTAAAACGGGCTTCCCAAGTTCATAAAGAGGTAAATACCTTTCTAAGGATTTGACATCTATTTTTAAATCTAAGTAGTGGGGCTAAGTTTCTAAGGATCTACGTTTTGAATGGTTGACTCAAGTATATTAAAAAGTGAAAACAAGTCCTCCGAACGTAACCGAAACGCTTTCTAAAATTGGACCGCCGGCCCAGCCTGACGCGCAGTCTATATTTCTATGTCTATGGTGGAAGGTGTCGTGAAATGGTAGCTGAAAGTGACAGAACATGGATCGCGTTCGCGACCGAGATCCCATCGAATCTCCATTCGAAATACTCAAGACATAGTAATGGATGCGTGTACTTTCTGCTTGTGACCTCCGACGCGAAGAATGCCCTCTTCCTTTACGCCGCGTTTCGTCAATTCGGTAAGAACTTTTTGGAACACTAGCGGAATATTGTTCTCCTCGGACGTCAACTGGCTGTCCCGAAGCAACAGGGTGGACAACGACACGCCGAACAAGTTTCCAGCTACGAAAATAGTAACCGCGGTTAATCGACCGTGTTCAAGGGGGATTACGTGTCTATCGGAGAACGATGCGAACCTTTCGTTCGACGTTTGTTTGGGTTGCGTTTCTTTAACGGTAAGTTGTATTTATCGAAGACAGCGGTCAATTCCAGCCACAGTAGCGACTGCAACCTGGTCAGATCTCGCTGCGATAACGTCTCAACGCCCAGTCGCCTCTGTATATCGTCGGATACGAATGATTCGGGATTTCCGGGCCAGACTTGGGACTTCACTTCGTTAGCTCTGCACATTTCCTCGAAGCTTAAATGCCCGTGAGATGACGTGCGACTCAACGGATGCGTTATCAAGCCCTCGTCCGCCGGTCGAATTAATCCGTATAAACTGCTGTGGCTTCGGCTCACGGTTGCGTGGCTACCCGAGTTTCTTCTAAAATTATCAACGTTCAGAACATTACTATGCTAGGAACTCCGAGGAACGCTTTTCGTCGTGTAACATTACCTCAACGTCGACTCCTTGGGAACGTGCAATTTCTCCGTGGGTTCGTTCGTTATGCTCGTCGAGTTCGCTATTTCATTGGGATCGCTTCCGCTCCGTCTTTGTACCGTTGATCTGGACACGTGTATCGTTCCTAGCCTGTGATATCCAGTCAGCTGGATACCTTCTGCGACCGAACAACGTCACGCTTTTACAAATCGTGTTGCAGCCTTCTGCCGAAACTACTTTGACATCGTAACAATACCTGAATCGTTCGCGACGTCTCCCCGTAACCAGTTTCCGGCACGTCGGAAGATTTCCTGAACGGGAAATGATGTCGCCGGTGGTCCTGGCACAGCGTTCACTGTACCCGATGGTGCGCTTGGAGTTCTCCGTATCGTTTCTTTGCCTTCGTTCGACGTCCGTTGAAACATCGACACAAAGTTTGGCACGGTGACATCGCTTTGGAGAAATGGGGGAACCAGAAGATTACTCGACATCGAGGATGCAGCCGTCTGGCACAGTTACGACTTATCACTTACCTTGGATGATGGGCGTCGATGACGCCAGCACCTGTTGACGGCGGAGGCGAAGTATTTTCCGGCGTGGCACCTGTTACGGAATCCAACGAATCGGGCGTAGCGCTGCGCGATCTCGTTCCCGTGCTCGAGGCCTAATGTGAATCAACCAAAAATCAGTTACTATTTCAGATAATCGTATCGTTTCCTTTATCGATTGCTTCCGTATTCGTACCTCCACGTCCTTAAAGACGTCCCTGATGTCGGGCTTGCGAACACGCTGCCGCTGATTGAAACGCTGTTTCACCGTATGATTAAGTGACTTAACGCGTCGTTTCACCGCCTCCGCTTGCGCTCGCGATAAAGGACGCAACGCAGCTCCCAATTCTTCCGATGGCACTTCCTTCCCGGCCTTCCACGCTTCCGTCAGTTGTCCCAATCCAGCTGTACGTAACCATTCGGCCTCTTCCTCTCCATCTGAGAACGTCGATATTCGTCTTTGCTTGAAATTATTTTTTTTTTTTTTTTTTTTTTTTGTTTGGTATATAAATCTGCGTTAGAAAACAAGAACACGAAGAAATAGAAGCACACCGTCGTAGTTACGTGGACATTCCTCTTCTAGATAATCGTCCAACAGCTTGGTTTCTTCTATCATTTTTTCATACTCCTCCCAATAATCGAGAAGATGATTGTCTCCGTTCACGTACGTCGCTCCCTGTGTCCTCTCCATAGCGTCTACCCTGCTTTATGGTGTTTGGACACGTTCTAGTTTTTATTTCTCTAGAATTTCCATCGGCCCCATTCGTCGAGCTCTGAAAAGAAATGCATCCATTTCACGTTAATTGTAACGCGACTGTCAAAACTGACGCAAACGTCGGGACATTTGATAGCAGTAATTTAAAAAAAAAAAAAAAAGAAAGAAAAGAATGTTACGATCTACGAGAATAGGATAAAAGCCCGGGTTAAGTGACATCGACCTTTTTCGGATTTTAATAATCTGGCTTTGTAAAGTAGGACGCGAATCGAATTAACATATGCATCGCCTCGAGGAAGTATCGATGACGCGCTTAAACAACGAGGCAAAATCATGTTAAACGGGGAGTAAACGAAATTCACGTATGTATACAATACCACTCCAAAGCTACACGTGACATTCGTCTACCTATGTGAGATAACCGCATGCTCGCGCGTATGTAAACTACATAATCCTGTAGACCGTAAAAATGATAAGAAAAGAAACTATATGATCTAACCTGTTTGTAAACGAGTCGAATTACGTGGGAGCAAAACCAACAAAAGATTCGTGAATAAGGACGTACATACGTTTACTGGTGAACAATTCCGTGTCTGGTATAACAACGGTTGCACAGTCATCTTAAGCCCAAAATAAATTCTAAACTGGCGACACCGATATAACACGATTCTTGATATAAAGAACACGCACACCCGTAGAAAGAAACAACTTCTCAGACGTCGAATTTGTTACACGATTACGCCTTGGGGTAAATTAAATTACGCGGAAACAGTATTTCTACGCTATATACCACCACTTCCGAAACCTAATGCAGGTATTCAAGGCATGTCCGCCTTCGAATCGCACCCATCGTGACCGCGACCGTCGATGGGCCGACCTAAATACGACATAACCAGCCTATCTTCGATCTCTCACAGACGAACTTAATAAGTCTCTTTGCATAACACTACGCTTTCTTCGATTTACCTTACACTGAAAGTATGAACGGCGAGAACGCTTTCTCGCGATTCGACACCTGTTGCTGACGCATATACGACTCCCACCTGTATTTATACACACTGATTCATAATGTCGATGATTTCTGGATGACATCTGTATGTACTTATGCGTTGTGGCGACGCCTCCTCTTCCTCGACTACCTACACAACCACCAGAGGGCTACGAATCATGAGTAATTTTTATTATTATTCAAAAACTGTTGACCACAGTGCGGTTTCAACGTTCTATATCGATAAATTGACAGGTCTCATGCTCCAGAATAATTATTTCATCAACTTTACGAAACCTACAGTTCGAGGAAAGCCACAATGCGAGTTCCCTTTCATGCTCTAATACTCAATGCCATACAAATAGCGATGAATCGATACAAGCAAATACGAGTACATTACTCGATACTTTTGTTTCGATACCGAGTACTTTTGGTATCGATACCTGCGCTTGCGATACCAATTAGGTATCGAACAAAAGTATTCGTATCGAATGGAGTGACTATCGACCACGGTCATTATACAGTCCGTGCCCACCACCCCACCGAACAGATCATTGGTTCGTGGAACCGATCGTTCAGGACTTCAACACGGCCGATCACTTGCATATTTGCAGAGTGACCGGAAGAAGCGAGGTACGCGAGAAAAAGAAGCTAAAGTACCTAATAACTACTGGGTATACATGACAATGGGTTTGCAGCCATTGGCTCGGTACTATCCTCGATTTACAAAACTATCGAGGATAACACTTCGAATCTATCTCATAAAACCACGTTCTATATTATATCGAACTAGGATTATTTTAGAAATCGATATGAGATTCAAAGTGTAAAAATGTCTAGTACTTTGAATGTTTTAGATTTAACGTAGATTTAACGTAGTTCACAAATTCACCGTTCTCATAACGTAAAGGGCAGCAGAAAATCCCTGACTTTTTACACTATCGGTATTTCAGAACATGAGACACAAAATCCCATAAGATGATAGGTCTATCCTATACCTAGTCGGTGCTACTAGTTAACACAATGTACCGATCGAGAGATTTTCAAAAATTACAATAGAGAGTTCAGTGACGCGTCTATGTCCACGTTACTTCGTGGATTTGTTTTGTGCAGCCAGAAAAAGTATGGCGACGTGGGAAGGCGAAAAATTTCGGGAGATCGAGAATGCCGATGATATCGAGGGAAATTTTGATAATATCCTTGTGACACACGATCTACAAGATTGTCTCGACGACAGTTTAGACTTAACCAATTTCAGCAGAGTTTACGAGCAGGATGCCGTGTTCGATTATGAAAAGTATTCCGACGATGATACACCTATCGACGACGAAAGGCTACCTAATGACAACACCACGGAGTAAGATCACTCAGATCTTTTGTGTTATATTTTTACGTACATGAAATAAACGCTTCGTTACTGATCGTTTAAGTGAAATAAAAGAAACAAGTGATGGAAGAAAATCAATTTGTAGTCGATTGTTTTACATAGCAAGTGGTATTTTCTATCCCAACCTTATAAGGATATAACGCATTTTGAAATTAGAGCCTTAATTTTCGATCTTGTGTTTGGTATACTTTGAATTCAAGGAAAATGTTTCCATTCTTGAGTATTGTACTGCTACATGTTCATCTATTTTCTGTGTGTTTCGTTAATGTAATTAAATCACGAGTTCTTATACAAATTCACATTTCTATGAACTAATTTATAAGAACAGAAATTAAATATATAGATACTTATTACCTTAGTAAATGGTTTTACCAGATAAAAATGAAAGAGTGGACTATATTAATCTGTAGCATAAAATCCAAAGTTGAATAAAATTACAAATGTAAACTACCAAACAGATATACATAATATGAAAACATTTCATGTTGTTGATGCGTAAAGTAAACATGTTTTGTCACAGGTCTATTCATCCTATAATTAGCCCTCACGAGATTTATATGCGAATTCATTCTGGTCAAAATGATATATTACCAATTGACTCTGCATGTGCAACTATCACAATTGAAAGCAAAGTTCCAGACAGTAGTCAAAAACATATTGGCCGATATACCTGTGAATATGAGGGTTGCAATAGAACATATAGCACAGTTGGGAATTTGCGAACTCACATGAAAACTCATAAAGGTAAAATTTATATACAATAATCTGATGGAATTAAACACATTTCATCGTATAATAGAAAGTTCCTATAAAAAGTTTAAGTTTTTGTAGCACTAATGTCTAATAATTAAAAGAGAGTTACACAATAATGATATTGTTTGTAATCAATCTATGGTATAAGTCAGTGATAATGTTTTACACCTTTTTTCTTTAACAATCATTATTCGACTTATAAGATTGAAAACAGCAATATGCGCTCTGCATGGTGTTGCTTATCGATAGAGTAAAATTTACTAATTTGTCTATGTCCTTTTGTGCTTTCTAATAACAAAGGAGACAAGGTAAGCTTGTGAAATGTCATTATTATTATTGTCCAAATTCAGTGTCTTGACAAATAACAATATATGCAGTGTGCTTGTGCTTTATAAACAAAAAATATGTTCATGTATATTTTTATTCATTATAAAGTCATCAGTGCTGGTATAAAGGGATCGCTTCGACCTGCATGGCTTTCAGATTCTGCGAGCAATAGGTAGCCCAGCAAACATTTTATGTGGAAGGAATTCTCAAAACTTTCAGGCGAGTATCGATTTAAATGCGCAGAACCGAGTTGTGGCAAGGCCTTTCTTACGTCGTACAGCCTAAAGATTCACATTAGAGTACACACTAAAGTAAAACCATTTGAATGCAATCACAAAGGCTGCGAGAAAGCATTCAATACCCTTTACAGACTGAGAGCTCACCAAAGACTTCACAGTGGCAATACGTTCAACTGCGAAGAGACTGGATGCATTAAATTCTTCACTACTCTAAGCGATCTCAAGAAACATATTCGTACTCATACTCAAGAAAGACCTTACAAGTATGTTATTTAATATAAAACAGATGTATAAAGCTGCCTCGATACTTAACGTGAAAATTAATAAATTGTCGATTCACACACATTTGTATACTTTCACGTGACTCAGCACGTCCATATATACTTTATTCTGTTGATTGTATAAAAGAGTGTATACACTATACAGAATTACATCAGTATATTTACAGGTGTCGAGAAAAAGGATGCGGTAAAGCTTTTACAGCATCGCATCATTTAAAAACACATAAAAGAACGCATACAGGAGAACGACCTTACGTGTGTACTTATGAAAACTGTAAACGATCATTCACCACGCCTCATAGTTTAAAAAGTCATTTGAAAACTCACAAAAGAAGTAATAATGATGAAATGGTATGTATTATAATCTTCGAAGTCATTAAACATTATCAAACGTCTGTATTACGCTACATTATTTTCTTATAGAAACAAGAAGAGAATCCAGATGACTGCAGAAACCAAAGAAATAATGATTTATTGAAAACGAAAGTCGATGTTGTTAAGATAACTATTAAGAACGCAAGTGTGCCATCTTACTCTATTATACCGATATCCTCTAGTAGTCCGCAAAATAGCGAAAGTATAAGTTACATACCCACAAAGAATATCAATGATCACGCGACATCGACGAATGATATGATAGACATTTTATGCCAGAGAAGACTCGATAAGGAGCTGGATTACGATAATAATACTAAAAAGGTAGAAAGTTCAAATGAGACTGCCACAGTTACCATCCTTACACCGGAAGATATTGTTTTAAATAATTTTAACGAACACACGGTCGATAATTTTAATAACAATGAGACTTACGATAAATATAAGATATTCACCGAAGTGAATAATTCGACTTTACAACGGGACCGAAGTGAACAGTGCACGTCAGATTCTTCGGCGACAAAAGCTTCGAAAAATAAGAAGAACAACGTGAAACAATCGAACTCGCTAAATTTGGAACAGAAAATTATACAGGATGGTTTACACAATGCAATTGCACACATATCAGAAGGAGCAGACTTCGCTAGTGATATACAGCAATATGAGAATCAGTCAGTCATTGATAAGAAAACGTATACTAATGGATCAAATGTAGAACCGATTGTTAACGATAGCAACGCAACACTGTATACTGCGAGTTCTATTACTAGTCATGTATCACCTATAACTAGCTCACCTAGCAAGTCTCAGCTTTTTAATAATGGAATCGAAAACCTGTCGTTTATTAATGATACCTTACAAACCGGAGCACTTAACATGGTTGATCAGTCAGTGAATTCTAGCGTTGTTGTAACTGCACCGTCGGAAGCTATCGAATTGGCCATAGCATCCGAAGAGGAAATACCCTCTCCTTGGATAGATGTCATGGCGTTGGCGACACCATCCGCTTTAAGGAGACAGTCTTGGTCGGAAGTGAATGCTTTCCCGACGGCGGTTCATTCGCTAGTCGATCTAGTTGAACCAGAACCTTATCCGTTACAAGTAGAAAATCAATTAGAATCGCTACAACACTTGGACAATGTTAACCTGGTAGATGTGGAAAGCATTGCTACGAGCACAGAAGCTACGCCTCGCAACGAAAGTATTGATAATAAGCTAAAAGAAGATAGTACAAACCTAAAAAAGAGCAGAAACGTTTTGCAGGAGATCACAGCCGATGCAGACATATGCAAGTGTAACGATTGCAAGTGCGATCAGTTACAAAATTGTCAGAATTGCTCGAGTAATATGACAGAAGTTAATAAAAAGAATCTACCCAAAGTGACAGATGATTTCGCGAATTGTTTGCAGAACGACTGTGTATGCGACAATGAGCCTGGTGGTTGTGATTGTTGCTGTGTCGTTATCTGTTTGAAAACATTGCAGCAATTACAGAAAGTTTTTAGTCGTAATTGTTGTAGCACCGCTAGTGCTATAACATGTTGTAGGGAAACGAATAATGTTTTCGTTGATTTTGTGCAACTAGTCATGTCAGAAGGAACGTGTTTCGCGTAAACATTCAGTACGGATTTGTTATTTATCGTGATCTATAGATTAGCTCGCTTAGCTTTAAACGTGATGTTTTTTTTTCACATGAATGTTAACTTTGAGAAATGTTACCTAGGACAAATTGAGAGTATGGGACTGTATGTACATACCTGTACTATATTTTAAGAGACTTTATTGTGTAGGATGCAATACATAGATGATACGATACATTTTCTCGCGTGCCAACATATTTGTAGATTTTTTTACTTGAAAACTGTGTAGTATCCGACATTTTCTTTGCATAGTTTACAAAAACAAAAAGTTCTGTTGCTTTATTATACTGGGCAACAGTAAGGTATTGCAAGAAAAGCGCAAAGGAAAGATACTTGCCTCAGAATGTGCATGTTTTAAAAATGTATTAAATTTGATAACTGCGTTGTATAAATTGATACGTTTTGTAAACATTGAAATTTCAAATTTTCTATAAAAAAATGATATTCATTAACTTAAATGGTATTTATATAACAAAACAGCATCAACGATGTGTATCTACTAAATATTTTAGATATTTGACAAAGAGTAAAATATTTATTATAAATGTTTTTTTAATGCACGATATTTAAAATTATATATGTAAAAAATTTCAAGGAAAATTAAGCAGTATCTGATCATTTAAATGTTAAACAAGTGCAAATCACCATAATAGAATAAAACAAGCAATTTTAGGGTAAAATTTTTCGTGGCTGTTATATACAAGTACTTGTTAAATACAAATCAATGTACCTAAATAGCTTTTAGAGGAAACAAAATTTTATTGTTATTCGTTAATTAAAATTAACTAACAAAATAAAGTATAGTACGAAGATGTGTACTGTTATTATTATTTCTATGATAAATTCAATATGTATATTAACTTAGTGATAAAATTTTATTACTGGATCTTTTATACAGTACCATGACAAAAGTATGGCGAATACATGCCCTAAGATTGAATAACAGAGAATGTTTTTACATTTGCATAATGCTTATGACCATGCTTATTGCGAAGCTTGTACCAGAGCTTCTGCAACTTCAACTGCAATAGCTGCCTCAGCTTTGTCTTTATCAGAAGATGCCGATGACAGTTGTTGCTGAGCTTTACTAAGAACATCTTTAGCTGCTGAACTATCAAGATCTTCTACGGGATGAGCTTCTTCAGCTAAAATCTGCAGAATAATTCAAAATAATCAAAATTGATACAAATATACTCAGTATTTTGTTTTAATGTTATACCAAGTGACAAATATACCTGTACACTGTTGTCTTCATTTATGGTGACAGTTCCAGAAGAAACAAATACTTTTTTAGTTGATCCGCCTTCTTCATATACTGTGACTATTCCAGGTTTTAACACAGCTAAAGTGGGAACGTGCTTTGGTAATATACCAAAAGAACCGGAGAAAGATGGTACATCAACTTGTTTAATCACAGCCTGATCATAAAATACCTAAAATAAGTAGTCAAAAAATTTGTAACTTTCTCTCTAAGGAATTTTATTCTATAGACGTATTTATATTTATTTCTACCTGATTGGCTCCAGCTAAGGTAAACTTCATTTGATCGCTCTTGGGTGCAGCATCGGCGTATGTTCTCCTCTGGCTACGAACGTATCTCAAGTAAGGACGTAAGTTGCGAGCAAGGGTGACCATTTTAACGTTCTGTAATAAAAAGGCTTTTCACGAAACTTTACACGAATGTTTATGACAAACAAAGTTTAAATCTGAATGATAGAACTGATTACATCACAAGATCGACGTACATGCATAACCCATTATTTACATCCATGCATATTAAACCGGTCGAAATTGTTATCGTTTTCCAACAACCGGTTCAACAAACTTACCGTATGTATAATTAAATGTTTCACAATATAACTGAATTATAGCGAATGTCGAATTATAGTGCACTTATGCACAGACCCTCGTCTGTGATATAGGTCGAAGGAAATCAAATGTGAGCGATATGGCTCCACTGGGATCGTAGTTCCTGAGGAAGTTAATGTTTTTTGAGCCACACGATGGTATCACTGTCAAAATACTAATAAGAACGAGATCAACTCTCGGGAACACAAAGCTGTCGCCATCTGCTAAGGTACCCTCATCAGCAACTCAGCTTCCTCTAGGGGAAAAAGTTATGTAAGGAAAAAACCTCCTACCACTTGGTCTCGGGTTAATGAAATTTATGCCAAATTAACATTCGGTTTAACATTTCTTTCAGTATTTGAAAGTTGCCGAGGGATTTAGATATTTATAATATAAGCGTATTTAGATATCTAAGTTAGTTGTACAATTATTGTGAAAGGTGGATAGATGGAAATTGTGTTTCCATCTATCTTCCTCGGGTCTCCACTTGCAGCAACCTCCACGTGGTGAGACCTGGTAATCGGTGTTATCCTCGATTTACAAAAATGCAAATCGAGGATAACGCCGAGCGAATGGCTGCAAACCCATTGTAAAATAATTGTAATGCAAATCGAGTAGTTATTACTTTAACTGGCGTTGCTCGCCATTTAGCATCAGAGAGAATCGGTGCTCTCCTTCCGAGACGTAAGAAACCCCGTTTGTTGCAGCCTGTGGGGTCATAGAACCCCCAATGGAGGCAACAGAGACCCAGTGTGGTGAGTGTGTGGGGTCATAGAACCCCCGGGTGTGCGGCGCCAGGGCCCCGTTTGGTGAGACCGTGGGGTCATAGAACCCCCGGAGTATGCGCAAGAGTATTGAAACGTGATCCTTTATCGTTGTTACTCGTACGAGTCTCGAGCTCGGTCTAATGTTGCTCGTGCAACTGTCGAAATCTGACTGACACTTATTCCTACTTCCGTGAACAAATTATATAGTAATCCCAGCAACCATGGCAGTTTCTGCAGATACTACTACAGCCCAAGTTCAAAAGACATAGGCAGTAGTTAGTTTCTGTAGTAACTTGTTGAACCAGACAACTATAATTAGTATAGGATTCTACTTAGTATTAGATTGGAAGTTCAAAGAACGTACATTAGTACTTTCTAGCGGATGGGTACCAGTAAGTATAAAAACATTGTTAAAATCACATTTCTTTGCAACGGTTGATACTGTATCTCGTCACACGTACCCCGTTTACTTCACTTTGGACAGCTCTTCCAACGTTATTCTGACAGCATTCGTCTTGACCAAGCACTCTACTTGTAGCTGAAAGAACGTAGATTACTCTCCTGTCAGTGGCAGTAACAATAAACGACCAGAACACTGTCAAAATCGCATTTAATCGCGGAGTACCACTATTGTTTGGACTGGTGGCGCCATCCGTGGCGAATCGCTGAAACTGCTAGCCATATAATTGGTTAACCGTTTCAACTTTTCGCCACGGATGGCGCCACCAGTCAAAAAATAGTGGTACTCCGCGATTAAATGCGATTTTTACAGTGTTCTGGTTGTTTATTGTTATTATCAGTAACAGTGGGTTAATCTACGTACTTTCAGCTACAAATTGAGTGCTACAGCTAAACGAAAGCTGTCCGTATAATGGTGTACGAGCTGTCCAAAGTGAACTAACCGGGGTACGCATGATGAGATACAGTGTCAATCGTTGCAAACAAATGCGATTTTAATATTGTTCTTGTAATTACTAGTGTCCAACCGTTAGAGAATAGAAATCTATGTTCTTTCATCGTTGTATCTAATGCAAAACGAAAAAGAATCATGCCCGTATAGCGGCTTAAATGCGATAGAAACTTTTTGGCAACCGGATTGCCGCTTCAAATTATATCGACAGGTGAGTGAAAATTTCTAGTGATGGAAAATGCAAATATCTCAGTAATTAAGCACTTAAAATGAACGTCATTAGTGTCAAATTGTCCCTCAGGACTTAATGCATGGACCCAATAGTGCAGAACCCCTGAATTAATAAAATTAGTTATGCCTGTATTACCGTAACCTCTTATGAGACAACAACCTGATTGCAAAATATTTCGATCGCATTTACACCGCTAAACGGGCATGATTCTGCTTCGTTTTGCATTAGATACAACGTTTAAAGAACGTAGATTACTATTCTCTAACGGCTGGACACGAGTAATTACAAGAACATTGTTAAAATCACATTTGTTTGCTACAGTTGACACTGTATTGCGTCATGCGTACCCGGGTTAGTTCACTTTGAATAGCTCTTACACCGTTATACGGATAACTTTCGTCAAGATAAAATACTCGATTTATAGCTGAAAGAACGTAGATTAATTCCTTGTCATTGAAAATAACAATAAACAACCAGAACACTGTTAAAATCGCATTTAATCGCGGATTACCACTATTTTTTCGACCGGTGGCGCCATCCGTGGCGAATCGCTGAAACTGCTAGCCAATTATATAGCTACCAGTTTCAGCGGTCCGCCACGGATGGCGCCACAGGTCAAACAATAGTGGTACTCCGCGATTAAATGCGATTTTAACAGTGTTCTGGTCACTTATTGTTATTATCAATCACAGTGGATTAATCTACGTACTTTCAGCTACAAATGGAGGGCTTCAGCTAAACGAAAACTGCCCGTATAACGATGTACGAGCTGTCCAAAGTGAACTAACCGGGGTACGCATGACGAGATACAGTGTCAACCGTTGCAAATAAAGTGTGATTTTAACAGTGTTCTGGTCGTTTATTGTTATTGCCACTGACAGGAGATTAATCTACGTTCTTTCAGCTACAAGTTGAGTGCTTGGCCAAGACGAATCAGCCGTTATAGGGCACTAATCTACATTCTTTAAACTTCGAATGTAATGCATGACGAAGAAAAGTGTTGCCTGTTTAGTGGTTATGTAATTGCAGCAGTTTTCGATCGGATTTACACCGCTAAAAGAGCATCAGTTTTCCTCGTCATGGATTACATTCGAAGTTTAAAAAACGCAGCTTACTACTCTCTGGCAGTTGGGAACCAGTAATTACAAGAACATTGTTAAAATCTCAATTGTTTGCAACGGTTGACACTTTATGTCGCGATGCGTGCCTCGTTTAGTTCGCTTTAAATAGCTCTTCCAACGTTCTATGGACAAGTTACGTCTTGATCAAGCATTCAGTTTGAAGCTAAAAGAACGTAGATTAATTTTCTGTCATTGAAAATAACAATAAACAACCAGAACATTGTTAAAATCGCATTTAATTGCGGAATACAACTACTTTTTTGAACGGTGGCGCCACCCGTGGCGAATCGCTGAAACTACTAGCCATATAATTGGCAAGCAGTTTCAGCTATTCACCACGGGTGGCGCCACAGGTCAAAACAATAGTGGTATTCCGTAAATAAATGCGATTTTAACAGTGTTCTGGTCGTTTATTGTTATTTTCAATGGCAGCGGACTAATCTACGTTCTTTCAGCTTCAAACTGAATGTTTGGTTAATACGTGACTCGTCCATAGAACGTTGGAAGAGTTATTCAAAGTGAACTAAACGGGGTACGCATGGCGAGATTCAGTGTCAACCGTTGCAAACAAATGCGATTTTAACAATGTTCTTTTGATTACTGGTTTCCAGCCGTTAGAGAATAGTAATCTACGTTCTTTAAACGTTATATCGAATGCAAAACGAAGAAGAATCATGCCCGTTTAGCGGTGTAAATGCGATTGAAATCTTTTGCAATTAGAGTTGCCGCCTCATAAGGGGCTACGGCAATACAGGCATAACTAATTTTACTAATTCAGGGGTTCTGCACTATTGGGTCCATGCATTATGTCTTGAGAGACAATTTGAGACTAATGACGTTCATTTTAAGTGCTTAATTACTGAGATATTTGTATTTTTCCATCACTAGAAAATTTTCACTCACCTGTCGATATAATTTGGCTAGCAGTTTGAGCGAATGGCCACGGGTGGCGCCACCGGTCGAAAAAATAGTGGTATTCCGCAATTAAATGCGATTTTGACAGTGTTCTGGTCGTTTATTATTATTTTCAATAGCAGCGGATTAATCTACGTTCTTTCAGCTACAATTCGAGTGCTTTATCTAGACGAAAGCTATCCGTATAACGGTGTAACAGCTGTTTAAAGTGAACTAAACGGGGTACGCATGACGAGATACAGTGTCAACCGTTGCAAATAAATTGTGATTTTAACAATGTTCTTGTAATTACTGGTTCCCAGCCGTTAGAGAGTATTATTCTACGTTCTTTAAACTTCGAATTTAATGCGTGACGAAGAAAAATGATGCCCGTTCTCACAAGTACTAGCTTCTAGCTTCGTTTATGAAAATACAAATTCCAAAATATTCTCGCGCCACACGTCTAGGGCAGTTCTGTCCTGAACTTAAGCACAAAACGTAATTAAAATCATTTAAATAAAATAATTAATATTTCATTATTTCTCATAAATACTAAGACGGTTGTTGTTGTTTAATAATTTATGTTAAAATACAAGTTATTCATTTATAAAGCTTCATTACAAGATCCACTAAATAATTTTCTATAACATTCAAAGTACTAGACATTTTTAGAACACTGAATCTCATATCGATTTCTAAAATAATCCTAGTTCGATGTAATATAGAGTTATAATGAAAAATATAGTTTTATGAGATAGATTCGAAGTTCGCAGTCATTAGCTCGATATTGTCTTCAGTTTATAGTACTTTACCGATGACAATACCGATTGCCCAGGCCTCACCACGAGGAGGTTGCTGCGAGTAATTCTAAGAAAGATAAGAAACAATGTCACTCCATTTTTGAAACTGTCTGTACACGATCATATAAAATGATTCACTGTGGTATGCAACGCATAGATAGTCCGCACCCTATTTGATACGTTTCTCCATCGTGTTTGCTAAGTGTCAGCTGATCGTCATGTGCTCCGAAAAAACACCGCGAATACTCTCGATACAAAGTCACGTAGTGTCTGGTTATGTAGGAAATAAAAGTGCAACATTTCCGTTACAGGTGAACAAATTATTGTTGCGTTATAAAACTACAAACCTTCGAAACTTGTCGTTAACGTGTTTTGTAATGTCACTGATATCATTCTCTTATCATTGACAGTTAATCCCATATTACCACGAATTCGAGAAAATATATTCCTTTGATGCATACAAATTCATTTGCGATTTCAAACGATAAAAGGTCAAATTATTATTTCCGAACAATATACAAGAGGTGGTATACGTATGTTACATTTTCTTAATAGGAAGTGCTAAAGGAATAATGACAACTTAGGAGAATATTATGATATAGCATGATAAATAATGAATGTACAATTTCTTCTGTTTAGTTACTCGGTTTTGAGGTAGATGCAATTAATTCTGTTCAACTATCCAATCATACTAACTATAAAGTCTTTAAGGGCCAAGTACTTAATGATAAAGACTTGGGTGAGTACAATACATTTTTTTGTCTTAAATATACGAGATAAAATATTTGAATTCTCCTGACAATTTACTTTTATGTATCACTTATGTTAATGGACATTTTTTAGAGGATTTAGTCGATGGTTTAGCACAAAATAACTTAGACAATTACACTCATTTACTCACTGGATATGTTGGTTCTGCTTCCTTCCTGAAAAGAATCGCAGGAGTGGTTCGTGCTTTAAAGCATAAAAATCCTAATCTCATATATGGTAAATATGTAATATTTCATTGGAATGATGAAAATTGTACTAATTATTGATTTTTTTTATTCAAGTTTGTGATCCTGTTATGGGGGATAATGGGAGAATGTATGTTCCTGAACCACTTAAGGAAATTTATAAAACGGAGATAGTGCCACTGGCAGATATTTTAACACCAAATCAATTTGAATTAGAGTACTTTTAAATATTATTATGATTTTAACAAACCTTGAGCAGGCAGTAGTTACAAGAACTAATGATTCTAGGTTGTTAAGTGGTATTAAGATCAGCACAATGTCCGATTTACAAACTGCTGTGAAAGAGTTACATAAAGCTGGTCCAGAAACAGTAGCTATTTCATCAACAGAAATCGATGATAAATTGATAGCAATTTTCAGTGCAATAAAAAGTAATAGATTAATGAAAATGTCCTTCAAAACGTTTATAGGCCTTCTAAGTGTACAGAATGAATTTCTAACAGATTGAATTTCATTTCAGATAATGCATTAATCAAAATAGACATTCCAAAGATACCAAGTAATTTTACAGGTTCTGGAGATCTTTTTGCTGCCTTATTTCTAGCTCACATGTACTTGCAAGATAATATGAAAGATGCTATCGAGAAGACCGTGAATTCTTTACATAGTGTCTTACTGAAAACTTACGAATATTCCCAAGGTATCGTTTTAATATAAATATTTCAATTACTCCTCTAAGCAAAAGTATGGCAAGGAAATGAACATTTCTGTACATATTCATTAGTATGCAAAGATGAGGATTCTCAGCCTGCAAGAAAAATTGAATTACGCTTAATACAAAGCAAGAGTTGTATTGAAAATCCAGAAGCGCATCTACTTGCTGAACCATTTTAACCGTGAATATTTTATTCATTTGTACATTCATGTACAATATAGTTAATACTGGTTATTATGTTAACTAATTGTAAGGACCACTATTATTGTCTTCCAGTGAAAAAAAACTTTATGTTTTAATAAAGAATTAAGTATATCAAATACACAAGTGTACAACTTTAAATGACTTCTATTTCGATATGTAGAAATACGATCAAATATTGTTATTGTACATACAAAACTATAAATATATTTACACGTATCAGTCGTAGTAATTTGTAAGTTCTTTTTCTTTTAAGACGTACAACATTACTCGCAATAATTTTTCAACGTCAAACGAGGCACAATATTCATAGATTGGAGTTCTTGGAAAAGTAACTTGCAAGCATACGGCATAGAAATCGTGGAAACACACGAACTGGAACGACAACTGTGACACCAGCCGCTATAAGCCATTAAACCGCATTTGTTGCATACGTCAACATCGAACGCGTCACTCGATATCATGAGCCTCTCAATCAACATCATACTTGCACCGTATCCAATCAAACAATCCCGTTCCATTTCACCTAATCTTAAACCTCCCTCTTTGGCACGACCTTCGGTTGGTTGACGTGTCAATACAGCTCTCGGACCTCGAGCACGGGCATGCATTTTATCTTGTACCATGTGCTTTAGCTTTTGATAATACACCTGCATTTGAAAATATTTTTAAGCGGTCCAATGAAATTACGAAACTAAATATCCATTACGACATTATCAACTTACTGGTCCAGAATAAATATACGCTTGCAATGGTTCTCCCGTGATACCGGAATAAAAGAAGTCTTTACCTAAATAATTGTATCCATATTTTACTAATTCTTCGCAAACATCCTCTACTTTTGAACCTCCAAAGGCTAAACAATAAATTAATGTATAACCACTATAAATTTCTGTTAAGATAACAAAAAAATTGATTATAAACGTACCTGTGCCATAGTGAAACTGTCCTTTCACAACACCAGCTTTTCCAGCGAGTAATTCTATTAATTTGCCGACTGTCATACGCGAAGGAAAACCATGTGGATTCATAATCATATCAGGACATATACCGTAATCGTTAAATGGCATATCTTCTTGCTCGACAATCAATCCTATGTATAGATGAAGTGAGGAAACAATGTTTATATTGGTAAGCAACGAATGTCGAAATACATACCGGTTACACCTTTTTGTCCGTGTCGACTACTAAATTTATCACCTATCTCAGGCCTTCGAGTTTGTCGCAATAATAACTTGATCAAGAATGCATCTTCTGCATTGCTGGAAATCATGACTTTCTCAACGTATGCAGGCACTGGACCTTTAAAGACAACCGGAACATCTTTGTATTCCGTTTGCGTTTGTACATTACCAGAGTTTACTGGGCCGATATTTGCAGCTGGCGATGATTTATTTACCATCACCTATTTGATAAGAAAATATATCAACAAATTTTGAAAACAGATTTGTAAATAAATCTAGAGTCCAATTTGTTTGTTGAGAAGTGTTAATATTTGAAAACAAACCTTTCTGTTTTCTACCATTTCACCGGGTGCAGCAATTCCATCGGTGTCGACAATATCGTGCTTCCAAACCGGTTTCTTTGTATTTGAATCTATCAATGGGCCCATTATTCGATCGTAAGTTTGATTAGCGTATCTTTTTAAAGTACATTTTGCATTTCGATATATCAAACATCTTCCGAATCCTCTATCGATAGAAGCCTTATTCAAAATGAGAGCGTCCTCGATATCATAACCGCTATAGGACATAACAGCTACTGTCGCATTTTGACCAGCCGGTAATTTATCGAAATTAATTAATTCTATCGTTCTCGATTTCACCATAGGTGCTTGGGGATATACTAAATTATACATCAATGTGTCGATACGATTACGCTGATTATAACCAATAGTTCCCATTGCCTGTTTACCCATAGCGCATTGGTACGTATTTCTTGGACTTTGATTGTGATGAGGATATGGTACCAATCCAGCACAAACTCCAAGCAACGTAAACGGTTCAATTTCTAGGTGAGTTGTTTTGTTATTAATATGCGATTCATTGAACGCGACGGAACTGTCGTTTTCTTCATTCACGTCTAAGTACTCGATCAGACCTATTGAAAGTGCAAGACTGTTCTTAAGTTCTTGTGGAAAACGTATATAGTATTTATATTTGTTATATACCAACCATCTTGTAAAAAGTCTTCGAAACTTCTAACGCCTTGTTCGAGGAATTTTATATGTTCGTCTTGAACAAGTGATTGTCCATTCTGCACAATAATGTACGGTCTACACAATCGTCCTCCATCAGAACTGATTTGAATGCATCTAAACGAGAGTGAAAATACAATTAAAAAATGAAGTATCGATTCGGATAAGTTTACAGAAATTTTACCTGTGCTGGTGTTGGGTATATATCGAAACAAAGCCATTTATTAGACCATTTCTACGTAGCATCCGAAAAACATTTACCAATCTCTGATAGTATTTCACTATTCCTAGAATATTACCATTTAAGAAAACCATATAAACGTTTTTATTATTGATCTCTTCTCCGCCGAGAATGTTAACGTTTTCTACTCCCAAGTTGAATGCTAATCTCACGATTGGTTCTTCATCGATTTCTGTGGTAATATGCGTCATAAGAGCCAAATTTTTAACTAAACCACAACCCTGTAAGGACGTTTTTAATATGCAATTTTGTATATTCAAAATCATTTCTTAATAAATTTGTGTGTAATACTGACTTCTCCTTCAGGAGTATCACTTGGACATAGCATTCCCCACTGTGATGGTTGTAATGATCGCGGACCAGATACTTTCCTGGTCTTTTCAAACTGTGAGTTAACTCTTGTCATCATACCAAGTGCAGAAATATAAGAGAGCCTAGATAACACTTGAGTCACACCATGACGTTCCATTCTAAATCGTTTGATGGTCCAATTGCCCTACAAAGTGATACTTTAATCAGAAACTGACATTTCTAAATATCCATCATATCTATTACATCAATTTTTATATTGCAGTAGCATAATTCACTCACAGAAGAAATGGCGAAAGCTAATCCATTGGTAATTTGATCTTGTCTCATATGCTTCACAATGTCAAATTGAGCAGCTTTAATCTTTGGTATGTTTTTGTCAGCAATTTGCTTTAACTAGAAATATAATATTATATAAAACAATTAATGCTACAAGTACTAAAATCAATCCCTTAATAACATATAACGTTACCTCCCAATTGAATCTTTTAAACAAATCTTCAAACATCAAAGACAATAAAGAACCAGCCAATTCTAATCGTTTATTACCATAATAATCTCTGTCGTCTACAAGTTTGCCATCCGATTGTGCTTTCATAACTTTACGAATCATTAAAGCAATATACGTTGCTTTCATCTTGAAATTAAAATCTACTACCTATAACAGAGAATATCGTCGTAATATTCTTCATCGACATCTTATTGCAATAGGAATCATTTTTTAATATACTAACGGGAACATGAGATAAAATGTTAGTTGCTAATATGTCCTTCATTTCATCTGTGACACTAGACTTTATTACCGAATACCTTTTCTGTTTTCTTTTATTACTGAGATATCTGAAACATTAGATATAGTCACTACTTCTAATGAAAATAACACAGAATGAAAATAAACTATTACCTAAGTGCTTGATTTTGGGCAAAAACGTTTAAGAGATGACACTCCTCCAAGCTGGGTGCAAATTTTTTCATAAATTCTTCTTCAGTACCAATAAGTTGCATAACTTCCTGATCGCTTACAATTCCCATTGCTTTAAATATTATTGTTACTGGAATATCCTTATAATACAGTATATATGTATAAAACCTTTTGCCATCAATTATGCTTTATTTAAATCAATTGACGTTGTAAAACTGTTACTCACATCCTGAAAAATATTGTGTCTCATGTAATATCTGCCAGCTCTGCCCACAATATTGGTTTTTGTTTTCCTTTCATGAGTACTACTGTTACAAGATGCTACAATACAGCTTTTACTATCCTCTTCTAAAATAATTCTATTTCTCAACATCTGTTCCTGTATAAGAATTACTTTCTCCTGGCCATTTATGACAAAATAACCGCCAGGATCATGTGGACACTCATTCATTTTTGCTAATTCGAAATGAGATTTTCCATTTAATACACAATTTGAACTTCTCAACATAATGGGCATTCTAGAAAGTAATCAGAAATTTAATTAATATCGAATGTGATCAATATATTCATTAAAGCTCATACCTTCCAATCAATAAATTATTTCTAATTATTGGCTGATGTCCTCTGATATATTCTATGTCTACTGTAATGGGAGCAGAATAATTTAAATCTCTTAAACGACATTCGTGTGGAGTAGTGGAACGAGTTACATTGAAACCTTCTTCGACATCGGGTGAACCAACATGTACATTTAAATATCTACAGCAAAAAATGTACATTAAATACGACAAGATAATAAAGTGAACTGACTAATAAAGACAGCAATACACACTTCACATAAAATAAAGGATCAGCATCACTCAATACTTTCTCATTTGCCTTCACTATCTTCTTTATCTCTACATTAATGAAATAATTAAAGGAATCAATGTGTTGTTTTACAAGACCTTTCCCTTTAAGAAAAGCAGGTACCAGCTTCCACTTATCCTACAACCAAATGATTCCAATACTGATTACCTTACAGGTATCGAGATAAAACGCACCGGTTTCTTAACCTTCCTCTCACCTGTATATGCTTCACTACTTTAGTATATTTCTGTTCCGATTTAATCCCATCATGGGCTCCGAATTTCATTTCACCCATTTTCTCACATACAGCATTTACAACGTTCTTGTGTAAAAAATAGAACTTTTTTTATAATATACTTCACTTATACGTCTTCTTAACCTTTCGTCTGTCGCGGTCTCTAAGTATCTAACGTGTGGTGTGACACTCAAATCTTACTAACGTGGAACAACAAGTTGTCAATAGGCCAGCAAACTAAATTAAAGAAAATGATACATAAATTGAAAAACTGTAAATATATTTTAATATGTTCATACATAAATAATATCAAAATATTAAAGTAATTCCTATACATGTTGCATACATGTTTGTCATGAATGTGCATATATATTTAAATAATTGATGTATAATATTTAAAGATTCAGTCGAACTATGCCTCAGTCTAATATATTAAGTATTTAAACGTCTGCAGAATGAAAATAATAAATTAAACAAAAATATTATTCCCCATCAGATATATCAAGCGTAAAATTCACTTTACATATTACGTTGACTAGCATTTGGTGGTGGTACACCGTTTATCAGTGCGCAAGAAAATTATCAAACTCATTACATCGTGTTTTCTCCAAGTACGCTTCTTATCATATTTACTGTTTCATTAAACGTATGCCTCTGTACATTCCGAAGAATATTCGGTAAACTAGGATTTTTCTGAAGCATGATGTTTAGTGTGCGTAAATTTACGAAACCGCTTCTTCGAAATTTCGTCATATCGACCAGTAAGTTTAGCGTGAGATGCTCCTCGCAATATTACAGAATAGATGAGAATATGTTTGGACTGAGTGATCAACAGAAACAGGTTAGTAGACTTGTAGTGAAAATTTAGTCGGAGTTCAAAGGTCATCAAGTTCAATGATAACACGGGTACGTTATTGGCTAATGTATATGTATATCCAATTGATCCTCTTCAAATTGAAAATTCATTTTTCGTACACAAAACCGTGTATAAAACAACGTATCCAAGTATACGTGTCTCGATATTACAAATGAACGAATGTTTTTTCTGAATAGCTGCGACATTTGGTATTTGATTTTGCTCAGAAAGAGCTTGCACCAAAGGCTGCCGAGATCGACAGGAAGAATAATTTCGACGATCTTCGAGTGAGTAATGCAAAATCGCCAAATAGTGTCGTAGAAAAAGCAATTTCGATATTTGAACGTTCAAAAATGGAATTTCTAGTTATTCTGGAGAAAACTGGGAGATTTAGGTTTATTGGGAATAACGGTACATTCGAACTATGGTGGTACAGGTGGAACATATTTCGACCACGTGATCATTATGGAAGAATTAAGCAGAGCGTCGGGATCTATAGCGCTCAGTTATGGCGCGCACTCGAATTTGTGCATTAATCAAATCCACAGAAACGGAACGGAGGAACAGAGGCATAAGTATTTGCCAAAGGTAACGGATGCGTGTTTACAAAGGGCCATTCAGGGTTGTGCCAAACATAACGATTAAATTTAAATACAGTTATGCAGCGGAGAAAATATCGGAGCGCTCGCGATGTCGGAATCGGGTTCCGGATCTGACGTAGTCTCCATGAAATTACGCGCCGAGAAGAAGGGTGACTATTACATTTTAAACGGCAACAAATTTTGGATCACAAATGGCCCCGACGCCGACACCCTCGTCGTTTACGCGAAAACGAATCCAAACGCGGACAAGCCGCAACATGGCGTTACGGCTTTCATCGTGGAGCGAGAATTCGAAGGTTTTAGCACGGCTCAAAAGTTGGATAAATTAGGAATGCGAGGTTCTAACACGGGCGAGCTCGTTTTTGAAGATTGTAAAGTTCCAGGTAGTTCATGCTTTTCTTAATTTAATCGGATTCAGTATATTACGAGGCGTTTGTACAGGTTATTGTTGATAATTACAGCGAAAAATATACTTGGAGAAGTAAACAAAGGCATATATGTCCTCTTCAGTGGTCTAGATCTGGAGAGATTGGTACTAGCGGCCGGTCCTTTGGGGTAAGAAACCTTCCACTTCTCAAAATGTGTTTTGGGGGCACGGGCGTAACCTTGCTCTATCCCTCTGGACGGAAAAAAGTGGCTTTTACCCCACCCTACATGAAAAAAATTGGATTTTGCCCCCCCTTCCTAGTGTTACAAAATTTTTACGTAATATTTAATATTGCAGTATAATTTGAAACACGGTCAACAGCCTCTATTAACAAAACGCATACATTTTTAATGATTTATGGCCATATTTATCGATCGATCGAAAAAGATATGCGTTTATCGTTGGTATAGTTCTAGTGTTAGAAACAAAATAGAGTATGTCTGGCTACGTACAGCCTTTTTCACTGTGGCAGTCGATGTGTTAATATTTTTTCCCCTCCTGACTGATAACCTGGCTACGCCCATATTTCGGGGGCCCTCATTTTACAGTTCGATTGAATATGTTACATGTTAGAATCCTCCAAGCGTGCTGCGACGTGGCATTCGATTATGCGCACACGAGGAAACAATTTGGTAAACGCATTGCGGAATTTCAACTGATACAGGTATAGTGTTATCGTTTGGTAGGTCTTACCCGTTCGTGCGTAAAACGGCGGCAATTGTTTCAGGGAAGAATAGCGAACATGTACACCAGTCTGAGTGCTTGCAGAAGTTACTTGTACTCCGTAGCAAGATCTTGCGATGCGGGACACGTAAATCGAAAAGACTGCGCCGCGGTTATACTTTACACCGCCGAAAGAGCTACCGAAGCTGCCTTAGACGCGATCCAAATACTTGGTAAACTATAACTTATTACGTACATACTTTTTTTTTATCGAGGGATGTGGAAAATCTGCAATCAGATACCTTGGAGAGTCTGCACTCCAAGGTTATGTGGGGATTACATACATACTTATTACATATATGTATACTTATAGTAAGCGTTCGTCTAAACCCGTTCAATTTATATTAGGTGGAAACGGCTATATAAACGATTATCCCACGGGAAGGCTCCTGAGGGATGCTAAACTGTACGAGATTGGCGCCGGTACCAGTGAAGTTCGCCGAATGGTAATCAGCAGAGCGATCAGCGAGGAATATTCATGAGAAGAAATATTTTATCTTCCTCGATAAAAGATTATTTTTTTACGACCCTCGGGAATAAACATATATATATATATTTTTTATTATTTAATACATTCTACCGAACTAATGGTGCACTCAAGCGAAATTATTCTAGTTTTCTTTTTCGAGCATCACTCCGCATCGTGGATCCATTCTTAGCGATCAAACAATCCACATCATCCGAACTGCATATCGATAGGCGATTAAATGGGTCATCGGTATTGCCAATCTGCACACGGCAACCGAGCAGATACGTGTACACACTTTCGTGGGATCGTGTAAATCGAGATAAATGAGTCACTAGAACGGTCCAGTCTAAAGACTATGATTGACTAACCTTTCGCGCTATAGGTTGCTAATTTAAGTCAAACTTACGTGCACTCTCTTTCTCTCGTTTCGTCGCGACCACTCTCTTTTCCTCTTACTCTTTCCTCTTGATCTGGTCCCATTAATCACGGTGCAGTCGAACTAATTTGATCGAATCCGCAATAGGGGAGAGAAGCCGTCGATCGTTCTCCCGAACGTCACTTGAAGAAAAAAAGTAAAAAAAAAAAAAAAAAACAGAAAAAGAACGGGGTACAAGCCAAACCGGAACTCGTCGATCAAAGATGGCCCTCAAGTTCTCCATAGGCAATTTTTACGAAACCTACGTAAGTACCGTGACAGGCCTGAACGAATCCTGGCATTTCTTCCTTTTGTGCAGCTTCCTCTGTGATTTACAGGTGTGTTCCACAGACGAACTGTGTCTCATCCTGATTAATTTTTGTACGAAGATATCACAACAGTTCTCTCTCCCTCGTTTACCCTAAATGACGTTTCACACTGAAGTTGTCGGACGCGTGTCGATGAACTGCGAGGCGGGCTGTTGAATGGAAATCCGCGTGGGCAATTGAAACTCGCCGATTCGGTCACTCGTGAAGCGTATTATATTCAAGTACTTCGACGCAGGTGGATCTATAGATCCCTTGAGAGATCGGAGCAGCACGATTTGTCGTGACGTCGCGACTCGCCCGAAAGAATTACCGAGTCCTTTTGATGAAATATCGTAAGCAGAAGTTTTAAATATCGATTCCCAAATGACGTTTACAGCCTGAGATTCAGGCCGCTTTTAGGCAGGGACTTTTACCGAAATGTAAAATTCTGGTATTTTCGGTTTTACCTTCGCCCTATATAACCCTATATAAGCCCTACCCTTATAGAAACCGACAAAATACCGGTATTTATTTCGGTTTTTGGTAATATATCGGTTTCGGTATAATTTTGATGGCATAACACCGGCATCAAAATCATACTAGTTTAAGTTCCTGCTTTTACGTACAGTAACTCCTCGATGAGTGTTCGAAGGCTCACTCGGTACTGAAAATTAAATATTTCATAAACTAATGGCTATATACGGCTGAAAGAAATATCATTTGCTTCAGAATTCCAAGCTCTATCACTGCGTTGAACCTCATTAAAAAACCAGCGTTACATCCGAGGACCTCTTCGTGTCAGTGTTTAGGAGCCTACGAACACTCATCAAGGATTTACTGTATGTTAGTTACACGAATAGGTGACCCCGATAAACGCTTAATTTTACGAGGACATAATATTGTGCCCATCGACTTAACCTATAGGATTTCGCGGGGGATCAGTGGTCCCATCAGTTGAACGAAGCAAAAGTGCAGGGGAGGCCGCGAATGCCAGCGAAATGAGTGCACAGGTCGGGCCAGAACAATACACACGCGGTATGCCAATTCGAAATGGGGCCAGAATAGCAGAGAAGCGACGGGCCGGTTAGTTGGGTAACTAAGCTCGGTGAAGTAAAGCCTGTCAAAATCAAGTGGCAGACGCAGCCCAGGCAGTTCTCGTGTGCCAGTAAGGAACGTAAGCCACGGGTGGTTTCGATATCGCGACCCGACTCGAGCCACGGTTTTCGTGTCGTCTTCGTTCTCTATCGAGGTCTGGGATCGGTTTTTTTTCACCTCGATTACGACAGTTTCTCTCGTTCGTTCCATCTCGCAAGTGCATCGATACCGAACGATCGATAAGAATCGATACCGAACACGTAACGATTTCACTTATATCGGATTGTGGCCCCGTTTTGAAAAAAGAAAAGAAAAAAAGAAACACGCGATTCCGTTGTTGTGACAGACGGAGTAGAGCATGACGAGGAAACAAACGGTGATCGTGAAGCTTAAGAGATCCACCACTGAGAAACCCTGGGGAATATGTATCGCCGGAGGCGCTGATTTGGGCACGCCGATCGTCGTCACCCGCGTGAGTTTCTGTTTTTCCTCCTACTTTTTTTTGTTTTTTTTAATCATCAAACATTTTTGTTGATTCTTCGAGGGTTTTCTGCGATGATAAATACCATAGACATATATAATAGACTGCGCGGTCTTATGGTAGGGATGAAGTCGGCACTAGAAAGAGAGGACAATAACTGGAGTAACTTTTCTCTCTTTCTAACGGGGCTGTTGGTGGGGGATTCCCCTACGGCTGTAGTGGAGACGTTACATGCGTGCAGCATACCTTCCCCTCATCGCCCTCCAGTCGCTTTCTCCCCTACCTCTGTGATGTGCGAGCAAGAAAAGGGTTACTCCTACGCTACTTCTGTCCTTTGGTCTCGCTTCATCCCCACCATAAGACCATGCAGTCTATTATATGTATATGTCTATGGTAAATACACTCGGCTCGATTCGCACATCCGTACACAGTTATTATTGGATGTACAGCAAAGGCACCAACGGGCGGAACAGCAGGGGATTCGGATTATTTTCTAACGAAGACCACCTCCTGCCAATAGCATAATATTTACCGGAGACTGTCGAGTATTCTTTTTCGTACGAGCTAACCCCGATTTTCTATGACGGTTAATCGATGCGAATTGTCATGGTAAAGATGCTTTTATCGTTCGGAAATTGACAGCTTTATGTTTCGAATCGTTTAGGAATATTTCGGTCGATTCCATCGTCGCATTTCAAACGGTTCTTCCCTACTAAACACGATCCTCGCTGATACACCTGTCACGTGTGCCCGAATCTCGTGCATCTTCTTGGTCGTCTCGGTTACGTTCTTTCTGGCACGATTATCGAACGCAGAAAGGATAGAAGAGGCCGTAAACACGTTTGGATACGGTCCAAAAATGTTTGATCGTTAACGGATTATTGTACATTGCAGCATACATTTGATACCTCGCATTTTCCCCTCTCTGTAATCATCCTTAACGATTTACGAACATTTCTTGTATACCTACAGTGAAAGTCAAAACTAACCCAGATAGCACATGACGCCTTAAAGACGCCTATTTTACGGTTAAACTTCGAGGGGTGGTTTCACCCCTTAAAGTCGCGTCTCAGCGGATAAAAAAAAATACGTATCCCTTATTTTTGACTGCTTAATAGACATACGAAGTTTCATCAAAATCGGAATTAAAGTCGCGTCTCAGCCGATAAGAAAAAATACGTATCCCTTATTTTTGACTGCTTAATAGACATACGAAGTTTCATCAAAATCGGAGGGGGACAGTTCCGTGCCTTCCCTTGTAAGTTGCGATTTTTTTAAAGAAAATGCGTATTTCCGTTTACCCGTAAATTTGACGGGTGTTCGTAGAAGCAGGTATGTAAGAAATGTTCGTAAGCCTAATGATACCGTAACGTGAGCGCTACATGTTGTCGCGAAGAATTCTCGTTAAATGGTATCTCCCGTTGTGTTTGCAGTCGGAGAACGAGGCGCTCCGGAGGGGTGATGTGATCAAGAAAATCGACGAATACGACGTGCGAGACGTGAGGCATGTAGACGCCCAGAGACTCCTTCAAACCTCTGAATCCATAAAGCTTGTAGTCGAAAGGTCTGAGCCGTCGTGTGCATCTCGTATCAACATTACCACCACGTCACCTCCGATTATCGGGTCGAACGTTGGCAACAGGGCTGCGGTCACTAGTCTGTCAGAGAGCAATTCCACCTGTATTATTATGCGCTCAGTTTTGTCGCAACGCTGCACCGCCGCGCTACTGTCGCTACGTAACGCCAGTCCCATTAACCACGCTTACATTCATATTAAATCCTGTCACCCTTTTCGCCATCCTTTCTCGAGCATTTAATCGCACAACCGGCCTATTAACAACTCACCGCATCAAGACGCATCGTTGTCGTCGTCGTCGTCTCGACAATCACTTGTCCGTTGCTCTGCATTTCCGCGTGGAAGTGTTTTTGAGGAAAACGAAGCTTGTCCATTATCGCGACTCCCGTTAACGTCAGCCGCGAAACGTTAACTAGGAAGCAATCGTATATACCAGCCGAACGATAACTAGCTTCTTGCAATAAGAGAAAATAAGCTTCGCCGCTTCTGTGCTTCTAACAGTCAGTGGTTCCCAACCTTTTATAAAGTGCGGAACCCTATTGGGAGTAAAATTTGTTGGCGAAACACTTACCTAAATTCAAATGAAATAAGTTTGTTTATTATATCGTTTATTAATAGTATTAATAACATTAATCTAAAGCATCTTTCACACGCAAACAGTAATTTCACGTAGGATAATAATAGCAATACCTTGCAATTTATCGAATTAACCGCGGATTACTTTTGAAATTCTTACGGAACACAGGTTGGGGACCACTGTTCTAACGTGTGACTTGTATTCAGTTCTTGCGACGCAACAGCGTGATTTTCGCGATGCAAATGGAGGAAGTGTTCGTCGAGACGAAGATAATCCTTCGGTTTCTGTGTTCGTGTCGTTACTAAGACGCTTCTGTTATTACGCTGCAGGGCTAAACAGCCGAAAGTACCGGCGGAATTGCCGAAGAGTCCTGTACCACCGGCAACGATCGAGGATTTCAGCCGGTCCGCATCACCGCTGGATCGTTTCGTGTTGTCGCACGAACATCTCGACGAGGTTCGCGAGGAAAGGGTCTTTTTGTCGCAGGTACTAACTCGCTGATGTACCCTCGCGAGCAAACTCGACTTCCGCTAGGGGAAAAAGTGGCATAAGAGTGGCCTCCCATCGCTTGATAAATTTATTTCAAGTACTAAAATAAATGATAAATTGAACGTTAATATATTTCAATAAATCTCAATATCAAATAGCAGGAGGTCCTTCCCCTACGCTGCTTTTTTCCCCCAAACGGAAGCCGACTTTGCTCGTGGGTGTACAAGCCGATAGATCAATACCGTAAGATCGTGAAAAAAGACGCGTTCGTTCGCGCGGAACATTCGAAGTGTGAATTATATTTCAGTCGTCCCGTTACGACGTCGGAAAGTCCGCGTAGACGTAGTTTGCCACGCTATAAATATCGCTGTTGCATCGAAACCACCGCTCCGAACCAATGGTTCAGGACGATTTCGGAACACCCGTCTCCTCGTCGATCCTAGTTTTACATTACGGTTCGATATCACAGCCAGTGTCGACCACCGATCGCAAGAAGTAAGAAAATAACGTAACCGAGTTCCGTCCGTGTAAACAGCTACCGTTCGGTAAACTTGGGGTACGGTTGCTGCCAAAGGAAACACTTGCCACAAGGTTTTCGATCGCCAGCTTGTTCAGGATCGTGAATAGGACCTTTGGTTGCGTTTAGCAATAAAAACGGAAACTACTGGTTCTGAACGATGCCACGATTTCGACCGAGTAATCGGACACGAGCACCGAACGAATAGTGAAACGACGAAAAGATTTAGAACCGACGAAGCGCGATCCGTTTAGACACGATCAACAGGGTGAAACACGTAGGAGCGATCGTGATACATACACGTCGGTAATACGGGAGAGGAGAAGAAAGAGCGCGAGAGGAGTCGCGTGGAAAAGACCAGAGTTAGTGCCGCCCGCGCAACGTGCCAGTGCGTTAGAGGATATTCGTAGGAGAAGGATCCACGGGTGTCGACGTCCCAGTAAAAACGAAAGAGACGAAGAAGGGTGAAACGAACGGTGCTTCACGAAGGAATAACAAGAATATCGAGCCTTCGGCCACGGAACGATGCCGGGTTACACTACCGTTTATCGTCAGACCATCGAACATCCAACGAAAGAAGAGGAGGCTGCCGTGTACTGGGTACGAACCCCTTAGACCAGTGATGGCTAACCTTTTAAGCTCGGTGTGTCAAAATTTGATAAAAATTTAACTTAATTTCTCCCTCGGTGTTAAATTGACATAGTGGTAAGAAATTAATGTAACGAAGAGATAAACTGTTAAATTTGCAATTTCTCTAAAATAAAAGTCACGGAGTTTCAGCTAAATTTACCTATACATGACAGAATTATGTCATTTCTTAAGGGAAAAATGTGTCAAATTGACACGAGGGACGGATGAGGGTTAAACAGGGTATCATGTCACATATTGAAATAATATTTAATAATATTTACTTTAAGAAAGGTCGTGTCACCTCTGACACGACTGTCATAGGTTCGCCATCACTGTCTTAGATATTCAGACGGACTCGGTCCCGTCGACGAGTTCGACGCGCAATGTGTCCGAACAGACAATGATCGAAAAGTCCAATATTTTCTTTGAAAATTTGGACGTGTATACAAAGCATCACCTCAATCACCTCGCGATGTAAAGAAGTCAGATCATCTGCCTTAAATGCAAATAGCTCCACAGAACGTAGCAACAGTAGAGGGTTTTGGATTATGTTTAAAAACATAAAATGTTTTTACGACCAATGCGTCAAGCTCGACCGTCAAGAAATTCCGTTTCGTATCAGTTTACGTGTTCCCTCTGTCATTTCAATGTCGAACAATCGATAATCGACCTCGGGACAGAGAACCGTTCGGTGACCTTGAAATTTCGCGAAGGTCACTAAACCTAGACCTATTAACTGTGAATTATTTTAAACGAAAAGTATGAATGGAACTGTTCTAATAGCTTCCTATCGTTCTGTCAGCTCAACAACTTCATTAATTACGTGTCTCTCCGAGCTATAGTGACTTCGTAAAAACAGTAGGGGTTCGGATTTTTCACACGTCTTCAAGGGTTTCGGTGGCAAGTTCAGCATCCAGGGACGGCCAAGTTTTTTTGAAGTAGCAAATGACACATTTAGTGGCCTGTTACCTTCAAGGGTATCACATAGTACCCCCACTAAGAGGGTCACTCCACAGACTAGGTATAGGAACATACATTTCATCCAATATATTTTTTCGGCCCACTTTTCTAAGGACGACGTTGCCCCATTTCCATTTTAATGTCACTACCCATCGCAAATTCATCGTTCTGTTAACGTAGAGGTCGCTAAAATCACAGGCTTTTTACGGTGTCCGTTTAGATGGGCCACCAACTCCCATAAGATAAAATGTCTACTCCTATACACCTCGTCTGTGGTCACACCTAAAGTCACTATGGCTCAGAGGCACTATATACCGAAGCCACGATCGACACGAAGAAATTGGAGTATATTTACTCGATTACCAACGGAAACGTAACGCAGAATGATCTTGATTTCGACTAAAGCCGCGAGCCAACCTTGACACCGTCTTCGAAACTGGGGCTAGGCCTCTCAATGTCTATGACGGGGTGTGACATTACGAAAAGGCAGACGGGAATCTTCGTTTGAAGATTCTCTACGAAATTACGCGAGTGCACATTAGGCAAGGGAATTAGTCAACGAAAGGAAGAACGGTCCGAGATGAAAGGGGGAATTATAGAGAGGTGTGGTGCACGACCGACCAATAACACGATGCAATAAAACGCGCGTAAGCACACGCCACCGAACCAGGCCCGTTCATTGCTATCTTGTTCTATTTTCGTGGACTTAAACTGGGATCTGGGTTACTCAAACACAAGAGGGGTCGACACAACGACACACCCACACACAGCCCCCTCGTCGTCCTAAGCGCTATCGAAAGCTTGGTTACGCTGTTGAAAAATTCTTTCGTTTGGGGGGTTAAAAAAGACTTGTCGTAAATCGAACAACGTTTCTACGTGGGATCGGAAAGATTGAGACGACAATCCGCGAATCTGCCTAAAAATTGTTTCACGTCTGAAGGATAGAATCGGCGAAATCGGAGAGGGTCCAAAAAGATGTGTTGAACACCATAGACGTATAATACCTAGGGTAAATGTCCCTATTACTGCCACTTATTTATTTTACTTAATAAAAACGTAGTTCTTCATATTTAATGTATAAAACTATTTTTTTAATGACAGAGATGTTTAAACAATATTATGTTCCAAACTAAGACGATTTTTAGGTTAAACAACACGTAAAATGATGAAATGAAATCACGTTAGAATCTTAAGCGGGTAGTAATTGGGACATCTACCCTAGACCGTTCTGAATATCTCCCATAGTCAGACTGTGTCAAAAAGTAGAAAAAGTTACCTACTGTACGGTCACCCAACTGATACTGTCTTTTTCTAACGACGCGCGGTACGATCAGAGACATCTACCGAAACATAAAATACCGGTACTATACCGATGTATGTATATTTCGGTAATATATCGGTTTCGGTATACTTTTGCAGGCATAAAATCGGTATCAAACTCATACCGATTTTAAATCCCTGGGTATAATACGGGTATCAAAATCATACCGATATTAATTCCTTGGATACGATAGAAAAATTTCCATAGCCTAGAAAACAGAAAAATAGATGGAATGAAAGGGAATTAATGTCAAACGAAGGCAGAATCGTGACACCTAAAGCATGATGTAATATGTAATCCTTACATCATAACCTGAAGCTGCCTTTTTTTAACATTACTATACGTCTATGGTTGACACCACCTGGTTACGAAAAGTTCGAGAAAATCTCAGCTGTTCCGTCGCGTCTGAATTTAGTTCGGTGACACATCTGTATATGCGCGTAAGGGGAAAAAAGTAACGTGGAATGCCAAACAGCTTCCTCCTCTGGTAACGACGCATCTTCCGCGAAGCGAGTAAAAACAGACTAGGGCCCGTTCAGAATTTCGTTTTATCGAAACGTTTACCGTCGAAGCACGATAAACCAGGGGTTGGGGGTGGACAGAGAATTCTATCGTGATGATCGACGAAAAATCGACAAGCGTTCGCAGCAGGACAGGTGACAAACAGGTTCCGTGGCAGACGGGGTACACGTTATTTTTGCCGGGTCGGAGGCCTTCATCTATTTCGAGAGTGTCACACTATTGCTCCATATACCCTGTGAAAATACCGTTCCTGATCCATTTATAATGAAATTCTGAGACGCGAAAAATCTACAACCTTCTATATGTATACAATATACTAGACTGCTAACTTCCTTATACATATACAGGGTGCGGCTGAATAACGTGTACAAACGGGTACTAGATGATTCCTCGTGAAAAGAATAAGAACAAAATATGAAATACAATTTTTCCGTTTAAGGCTTAGTTTTCGAGAAAATTGACTTTGAAAATCTGCTAAAGACGGGGGCAATTGAATAGGACTGGGCTGACGCGTCTGTTCATTGCATTCCTTTTCTACTTACTATTATGGTAAATACACGTGCTTACGGATTAATTTTCGAAGTCGATTTTCTTGAAAACTATACCTTAAATGTACAAATTTCATTCCATATTTTGTTCTTAATTTTTCATAAAAAACTACGTTGTACACTCGCGAGTAAACTCGGTTTCCGCTAAGGGAAAATATGGCGTAGAAGAAGTCTCCTACCACTTGGTAAATTTATTCCAGGTACTGAAATAAATGTTAAATTGAATCTTAATTTGACATAAATTTAACATAAAAGTTTGAAGAAATCGACGATTACATCGATCGATTGGGTCGATAGTCGCCACCCAACGCTCCCGTTTCCGCTTTAAGTCGCCCCCTCCCCCACTCGTGGCGTCATAGTCGAAATAAAATCAATGCTGCTGACCGAACTCGAATTCGAACTTGTATTCTCGCGAGAGCGTGTCTTATAAATACGACGCGCCCGCCCGCGTAACTTTATCCCTGCTGTTCGACATTGTCATTTTTGTCGTGTTTCGATTTTCGAAACAACGACGACGGCCAGGATTCGAACGCATTCGTTTCGCCCGTTTACTATAATCTATAAGTATACCGTAATCTGGCCGTCTGTCTTATTGTTGGTTGCATGTAAAACTCCCGCTTTGAATTACGCGGCGCAAAACCGCTCGAGGTGACATAACGTGCCGAATCCGAATCGCTTGGCAAACGGTTTGTCCGTAAACGTTATAAGTTTTATGCAATATTACTCGATTATGCGGTTCCTCGAGCCAAACGTGTTCGAGAATATTCGACGGCGGTTTTTGCGACTTTGAGCAACCGAATTTAGGAGCACCTAAATTATTTCCGCTACTATTGAAAGTAAGAAACAATTACTAAATAGGATGTACATGGTTTTAAAGCGTCCATGTGATGGCGATAAAAACAAATAGTTTAGGTGCTCGAGGTAAAATTAACACCCTGTATACACGTTGCACACGCACGGTATGTACCGTGCCGTACGTTTCCGGTTCCAGCGGTCTTGCCAAAAATTATTCTTTGCCACACACGCAGCTTTTGCCGTTTCGCCACAGGCATTATTCACGCGAAAACGCTTAAGGGCGGACAACACTGTAACTGCTCGAAAGTCAAGGTATCTTTGGTAATTTATTAAAGGGAAACTATCTAACGAATCTTTTTTTCAAATTTGTAGGGGTTTCTATTCAACGTATAAAGCTTTAAAAAAATATTTTCGTTTACTTCATCTATCTATACAGCGAAGATTGTTTTGACTGAAACTTTTTTTCGAGATTTATGAATATCTGGTTTCCCTTTAAATACAAATTACTTTTTACTCAATGACTTTTGTCCAAAATATATTTTAAATAACCGTTACCTTTGGTCTCTGCGTGACACGGATGTTCCTCGCGACATTATCGAGCGTCCCGTCGATGATCATCATTGATCGATCATTAATGCAGCCTCCTCTATGTACCCTCGAAGTTATCGTTGACTTATTTTTGGTCGATATCATAAATTCGGACCGGCCTTTATTATCGCAACGATGTCGAGAATTAATGAGGTATCATCGATCAGCATGGCCTCTATTAAAGTTTATTTTAGATTTTCTTACCCGGTAATTGACACCATTCTGGCAGACTGTTCTACGCGTCTACCTAGCCGATTAAGAAGTTTCGACATTATGTTCGATGATTCGTTAGTTACTCTGATTGCCATTGCAGGGATTGGGAATGTTCACGACTGAAACAGAGAAACAAACCGTTGGTGAAGGATGTAAAATTTTAAACAAATTTTCAGCCGTACCGCACCACCCCATTGGTCTTGCCAGGCGCAAAGGTCAAGAAGGATGCTCCGCTCGGGGAATGTTATCTGCGCCATCATCCGAATCCGATGATCAGAGCGGCGCCACATCATTATGAGCCGGCTCATCCCGAAGTTGCTATGAAGCAGAAGGTAAATATACGTGAAAACGAATCCCCAGAGTACTCCTCGAAAGGAAAAAACGGGTGTGAGCAAAGAAACACGAAAAAACATTTTTTCGTCATGTATAAACAAGGGCCACTTTAGTGTTCCGTACATATTAAAAATAAAAAACCAACAAATACTTTTCATGGAATATCCGAGCAGGTGGCGGAAACGGTACTTCAACGTGTCTTGGGACCGAACGAAGTTCCAAAGGTTTGGACCACTTTATTATCGTGTCGCTTTCGCTTTGCGCTTTCACGACCGACACTACCCCGCTTTGATCGAGAAACCTTTTCGCATTCTAACCGTAAAATGCCTTCCGAAGTTCGTGTTGTAAACTGCGTCTCGTGAACAGCATGCGTTTTCTCACCGATATTAATCTATTGACGTGCGATCGGAGATGAATTTTCCAAAAAAAAAAACGCGTCATTTATCACCTGGTACCAGTGTTCTATGATAATACGACATTTCACTAAACGAATCGGCCTCCATTTTGCCAAACGCATCTTTAAAAAGTTTCATACCATCGCGGTGTTTCACGGTAAACTTATAGACTGCGGATTTTATGCATTTATAACCTATAGGGCTCTGTGAAATACAATAAAAAAGCAAACTTTCATCGGATCCAACGAGTTTTCTATTTTATTCTGAACCCAATAAGATACTTACGGGGGGAAATAAATTTCTACGATTGTTCCTGTCTTTATAAATTACTTTAGACACTTTTATTTTGCATAAAAATCAGCAGTCTATTTATGACTTACCGGGTGTCACAGCGAAACATGGAATGCGATACGCGTCGAGACAAAATCGCAGAGAATTTGGTGTACCGGTTCCCTCGACTTGATCGAACGATCCTCTGTCCCCGCAGGTTGTACACAAGCAATTCAACTCGCCGATCGGCCTCTACTCAGAGCAGAATATCGCCGACACTATTAAATGCCAAGCGTCCGCCATACCGTAAGTAAAGAAACCGACATCGTTTCGAGAGAAAGAAAAATAGAAAATAGAAGGAATCCGCATTATTCGTAAAGCGTGCACTAGAATAATTTAATTAGTCATTAATACGAATTGCTTTTCTGCTGAATGCTGCGACTCATCAGACAAATTAACTCTTAAAACCGTCATAGTCTAACTAACGGCTACCGTTGCCCGTAACTACGATCACCGAGCTTGGGAATGAATACATAGGGATCAAAAAAAGAAAGAAAGAAAAAACGTTTGAACCGAATCCCATATGAACTGTGCGCGACGCATCCAGTCAATCATCACTAATACATAATTATTAATTACTCACGGTCGGTTTCGAAACGGCAAAAAAAAAAAAACAAAAGAAACAATGTTTGAACAGGGAGGAATACTTGTACCGATTTTAAAACGAGGATTCTTCGATTCACGTCGGACACAAATACAGTACGCAGGCTCAAGTTTCTCGCCGATAACACTCACGTGCGGTTTCTTTGTTTTGCAGCATTTTCATAGACTTTTCCTTCGTGAAACAGAAACAGGAAATACAGGAGCAAGCGAGATTGTTGAAGGAGCAGGCCAAAGCCGCCTCCTCGAAGAACGTGTGGCCGCAATTCAATAAGCCAAACTAATATAGTACATTTATCCTCTATGCATACGTAGTTCGAGACGTCATTCGATGCTTCTCGCGTATTCTGTTCCAAAATTCGAAAATTCACCGCCCGACTATAACCTCTTCGAATATTTATCGTTCTATTCTATACAGTTTATATTAATGTATATATACATATATATATATATATATATATTTACATACCTAGGATCTTCAAGTATATTATCTGTTGCAGTCTGCGTAGTGATCTCGAAATAATAGATTCACGAAACCGGCAAGGAAATTAGAGCAAACGAACCTCGCTAAAGTTTGTAAAATAACAGTCTGATATCATTTGCATGTTGTAGAATGGAAAATAATCAACAATTAATCATAGTAAACTTGCGTGAAAATAAGAAGCCTTACTAATTTCGATGCTCACATGATAATATAATAATTGCGCATCCCGAGAATTACACACCGTGTTACGTCCAGAAGATTACCGTTGTTCAATGATCTGCGTGCACTTAGTTCGCGACCTTTCCGCCCGTGGACACATTCAGACATGTTCAAACATATTGAGACATGCTCGATGGAACGTCAAAAGACACACACGGTATGTAATGTTCGAAAATACGCATCAAGCATCCTAGCTAGGTTGTATTTGTGATCAGATTAACGACAAGGGCTCGATAATGGTCCGAAAAACACTCACGAACAAACCGATTGGCGATATATAACCCTGGCTGCTGCTAACCGAATTCACAAAATCGCGAAGTTTAATAGATTAAAAGTAGTCCATGTGTACACATGCGATACAACGGTACAGTCTGAAGAAACCGGGGAAGTACGATCCGAGCAAGAGCGAGGCTTACAAGGCACTACAAGAGGAAGCCCTTGACGACACAATGCCGGAAGTGAAACAGCCGGCGCGTACCGGTGTTTTCTCGCCGCAGAAAGTTTATCAAAACAGGGTACGATGCTCCCTCTTTTACTGTTTACAAAATACCATTTCGAAGGCCCCTCGGCGCGCTCGGCACTGACAATGAGTGGCCCTAACGTCATCCCCACCAATGGGGGGTCCCTCATGGAACCAGTCAAGCGCCCAGTGGTGGAAATGACCCCTAATTTATAAGTAAACACTGTAGCATAAAACAATAATAATATAATAATTATATTAAATTTATTTTAAAAAAACTTAAAAAATTATATCCTTTAAATATAGACAGTCATTATCAGTGCCGAGGAGAACACCTTGCGCACATATTGGCAGCAAATTGACAGCAACATATGCAATAAATTGGCTTGCGCAAACCTTGTTCCGGTTTTACCCTCAATTTGACATGGGTCATGTGGCAAGACTTTCTGCCAATTTGCTTTATGGTTTTTTAAACAAAGTTTGTCATTTATTGTTGGCAATTTGCTCGAATCTTGTATACAACTGGTTATCAGGGCCGTTCGTGGTGTTCTTTCGCTGGGAAATAATAATTTATTTGGGATTTCGTCTCAGGTACACCAGGTCCGACCAAAGAGTCCTGCACCGTTTGTGAGTATGAACAACAATCATTGAAGAGTTCCATGAAACAAATTTTTCGAATTGGACATACGTAAGTTAATATTTTTATGATTTTCGTAGGTAGCCATCCACGACGACGATGGGGAAAAAATCCACCAAAGCAATAGTTTCAAGAGGATTATGTACAGTGTGCTGGGACAAACTGATTATTAATTTACATTTGAACTGACGCTATACATATATCTTATTTATAATATACATATATACATACATACATATATATATATATATATATCTACATATTTTATTTATTGTATGATGAAATAAATGATAATAAGATTGTCAGATATTAAGCTATAATTAAGCATAATAAAAATTAAAAGGCAAGGTGTCGTTGTTAAAAAATGAATACGAACTGTGTGCAATATCGATCTGAGGTTCCGACGATTCTATAAATTTAAACGATTACAGAGACCAGCGCCCAAGGCAGCTATTAATGAAGCAAATATTAGGTACGGTAAGAGGAATTGAAAGTTGTTAAACACCAAACAATGGTTAACATAATGTAATTCAATAATAACGCTCTACAGTTTTCCAATATCGACGCAGTCACAGTGAATATAATTTCAATTTAATTTCCATTAGCAACTTCGACCTATTAATTTTTATTGTTAAAACTATACACAGCTGTGTCGTCTTCGTCGATAGTATCGTCATTTGTATTGGACTACATTGCATCTATGGTATTCTAGTAGGTCTCATATCGCAATACTATTGTTTTGCACGTGTCCCAAAACAGCGCGCTGAAACATTTGTAAAGTACATAGTAGTTTCTTCCAAATAGATCGATCGAATTCACATGTGTACTTAGTCGGATTCGATACAATATCTTCCAAATTAACGTGTGACGGTACGACAAATATTCCAAACGCAAAAATCCATCTTTTAAACGATTCGTATGTAGAAGAATATAAATACTGTGCCTCCGCAGACGATGCAGTAGCCAACGCATCCAGCTGGCTCAGGAATAATAATATTAAAATTATTTCCTAGATATTCACTAATACTAGTAATTTGTCGTCTACTCTCACCACTCTTTTCAGATGGGAGAAATCCTTGAAACTTTTCAAAGAGTAACGTTACGGCTCGATTACGTTGTCACGCTTATCCTCTCTTGTCAAACTTACAGGCGCCTAAATTTTTCCTACGTTACGTAATCGAGACCAACGTTACAACGTGAACTCTATGATTCGGCCCTCCTACCAATCATTTAATTTTTTATAAAAATAGAGCGACGATAAAAAATTAAAGTGATTGGCTGTCTGTCGCTACGGCGTAATTAAACGCATAAAAAAAAATTGCCGTATATATCTCTGTGACATACCCTGAAAAGTTTCATTTAAAACTCCGCAATCGCAACTATTCGTTTATATTTACGCTCTGCGTAAAATGTTGTATACATTATAAATAATACTTTTCTTTCAATCTTATCCATTTCGTAATGTAGTTTATCGACATATTAACAAAATAAAATACAGAAGCCGACGCGTGAATATTTCCCGTTCGACGCGAAATTCATCCGTGAAACACTTACGAGCCGAGCAATGAGTAAAACATGGCGGGAATTTTCGTATTAATGTAATTTTTGAACTCTCGATATATTTACATAACAAACGGTTCCTGCAAACTCAAACATACACCGGGTTCAACACTCAACTCTCATACTTATATAAATATGTCACGTATCTAAAAAAATATACAGAAGCACATTCAAACATTTAACGAAAATGAAATGCATACATTTACATGGTTCACTCATTGCGAAAACGTAGATACAGATCTGCACAAATGACGCATTTAATAAATAATAAAGAAAAATAAATTATTCCATTTCGCTAATGCGTATTAAAAAGAAAAATTTTGAAAACCAGCATCGATACTTTCAATGATTATGGAGATCGAATACCAATAACAAGTATTACGTTTATGCCGTAACGAATGTAAATCGGTCATCAAGGTAAATATTCGCACGCGCGTTAATTCTATAGATGAAACACAGTACTGGAGAAATTATTCGAACTACGCTGATCCTCTGTGATGGTGTATGTAGAGCAAGACAAAAAGTATATAACAAGTATAATGTGAGAAAATAAATAAAATGTGTGTTCTACATAGTGCTAAGAAGGAGAATTAAACATCAAACGAATCGTCGAGCAACTGTTTTAGCTCTTTGAGATGCTGCATCTTGCTTCCTGTCGCTGGCGAGGCTGCAGTTGGACGACCAACGTACCTGCAACAGAAAAGTAAGGCCATTCGGTGTTTAACGAACAATAAGATCAAAATTATACCCGTTGCAGCTACATCTATTGAAGTGTAAAAGCACAGACGAGGAATAGGGCCGGGATTCATAGTCACTACTTATTCTTAAGCAAAAATGCTTAAGTCCCAGTTATGAATGTATACGTGTATAGGTACGGACTACACATTCATAACTGGGGATTTAAGCAAGTAGTGACTATGAATCTGGGCCTAGGAGTAGACATTTCATCCAATGTATTTTTTCAGCCATTTTTATTTTAGTGTCACTACCCAGTGCAGATTTCCTGTTCTTATAACCCAAAGGTCACTAAAATCACCAGGCTTTTCAAGATGTCGGTAGTGCAGTTTAGGTGGGCCACCAACTTCCATAAGATGAAAAAAGTCTATTCTTAGACCTCGTCGGTGATAAAAGCTTCTACTTAAAATTTTCAAGCATTCTCCCAATTAAAAGGTTCTAAGCAGCATTTACCTCACTCTTCTCGGTTCGACTTTATCGGATTCTATCGACTGCGGCTCGGGTGCAGTCGTTGGCGTTGGTTTCGCCGACGAAAACCAACCGCTAAACCACCCTCCGCTACCGTCACTCTTGTACGACGCACTTCCGCCGCTGTAACATGGCCCAATTTTTTTACTTTGCTTAACCAAAATAAAGACCGCGTGAAAAAGCATTTTTTAATAATGTAACATCAATGGAACTTCGTGCTCAAGCGTGTTGCGTATTCGTGGTATCATTACATGTACCAAGATTTTACAACCTGCGACCGCGAACGCAACTTTGACAAAGTGAAAAAACATGGGCCATGTGAACAGCTAAGGATAGGAGACGAAACAAATTATGGTACCAAGTAATACTAGTTAATCAGCTCCGATTCAAAGTGGAGTCTTTGGGGGGATGTAACCCCGGGCCCCACGTTCCAGGGGGGCCGAATCTTCCATTTCGTTATGATTAAATGTTATTTAATTTTATTTAAAACAAATTTCAATTTGTGAAGATTTAGGTATTTTGTTGTGCTGTATTACAACCCCCAGCCCCTCCCCTCGCTATTTAACTAAGGGGGCCACCGAAAATTTGATAATCCTGGGTCACAAAAAATCTTAACCCGGACCTTTAGTAAATCTATCCACATTCTTATAATTTACTTCAAAATTATGATCCAAGAAGATGCATTACTCTAGATTATTTCTAGTCAATGAATTGATCGTAGAACGTTAATAAAACAAACACAAATATACGCAGTGAATAATACACGAATTATACCGTATATCACACAACAAAAAAATTTTTAAAATCTGTGTAACTATAATGATCCTGTCAAATATAGAAATGAAAGGAGCTCTTGTGTGCATCAGTTATTACAAAGAAACAATTCCTCCACCGATATGTGTATAAAACAGTGTTAATTGTGATTGTACATTGAATACTTACGACACAGAGCGGACTCCATTCAGGGCTGTATGGAATCTAGGTTGAACATAGGTCCATGCACCCTGATTTTTGGGTTCTTCCTGAGCCCACACCAGTTCTGCGTTGGGATATTTAGCGGATTCCTTCTTAATCAAATCGTAAGGGAAAGGCGAAATCTATAAAAGTAGTTAAAACAAAATTTAATGGATCTCGTAAGAACAATAAATGATGAAAATTGTTGTAATCGCATTATTTACCTGTTCAACTCTTGCAATAGCGACTTTGCCATCCAGTTGTTTTTCCGTGCGCGCCTTCTTCAGGTCGTAAAAAACTTTGCCGGAACAGAACACCAGCCTTTTAACGCTGCTGGGACTTTGAGCAGCGGCGCCTTCTTCCGGTATTACTCGGAGGAATTCCGTGTCTTCGGTCATCAGATCGAAACTGGATTTCGCTTCTGGATGACGGAGCAGAGACTTTGGTGTCATCATAATCAACGGTTTCCTGAACGGCAATGCGATCTGCCTTCTCAGAATGTGGAAATAATTCGCCGGTGTGCTGCAATTAGCGACAATCCAGTTAATATCGTGTAACTGGCGCACAGCAAATTCTTCGCTTTCTGGGGGGAAATAGTCTGGATCATCAGCAGACATTTGGAGGAAACGTTCCAAACGAGCACTCGAATGTTCCGGACCCTACAAACAACGACGACCGTTTGAGTTATTGTATATATATTACTCAACCGACTATTGCTCTACTTTAGATCTCGAACAATCTTCGAGTTTCACTAGATTAATATAAAATGAATTTACCATTCCCTCGAGTCCGTGAGGCTGCAGCATAACAAGACCAGACTGACGCACCCATTTCGCTTGGCCACTGCTGATAAACTGATCAATTATACACTGTGCTGTATTGTTGAAATCGCCAAACTGAGCTTCCCAGCACACCAGTGCGTTAGGATTTGTCATGGAATAACCTAATTCAAATCCTAAAAATTCAAAAGGACACACCATGCGTTAATTTGATTTACTACGGCTGAATCAATCGTGGGAATGTTTATTGCGATTACCGAGTACACCAAACTCGGACAAGGAACTATTGCACACGGTATACGGAGCCTGATCGGGGTAAAGATAGCACAGTGGCCTATAAGTAGCCTTGTCCACGGTTTGATGATGAAGCACATGATGCCGATGGGAGAATGTTCCTCTCTCCACATCCTGTCCCGACAATCTCACGTGAATGCCTTCTTTAAGAAGGGAACCAAAGGCCATTGCTTCTCCAAGTGCCCAATCGACAGTTCGAGCCTCGATCATTTCCATGCGCGCCTTCAAAATACGTTCGATACCTAAAACACGTTTAGTAGTGCATTAGTAACATTGTATAATTCTCTATTTAATTTCTCGCCTATTAAAACTCTCCTTAATATTATTTCTCCTTAATTCCTAAATTACCTTTGTGAATAACAAATTCAGCAGCATTTGGTGGCGGCGATGAGAATTTCTTGCCAATGTGAACGAGCGTATCTTCTTTAATACCAGTAGGGGATACTTTCAACGGGTCTTTACCTTCGAAGAAGCCAGACCACGGCGAATCCAACCAGTCTTTATACTTGATATGCGTCTCTTGCCTGGCATTCGTGTATGCTTCTTCGCAAATCTTTTCATACTTATCTTTCACGTCCTGCATCGTAAGTTAACGTCAGCGTAAGAATTCTATTGTACATGAATCCATTCGATTGAAATATTTGTTCATCTTAATACCTTGACTTCCTCAGGGCTGACTACACCATCGCTGATAAGAGATTTGGCGTATATGTCCAGAACTGGCAGAGTATTTTTGATTTTTCGATACATCAACGGTTGCGTGAACATCGGTTCATCGATTTCATTGTGGCCATTTCGTCTGTACGACACGATGTCGATTACGACGTCCTTGTGGAATGTTGCTCTCCATTCAGCGGCAACTTTGCAAACATGCATCACAGCCACTGGATCGTCGGAATTAACGTGGAAAATGGGCGCGTTTACTACCCTTGCAACATCTAAAAAACGAATTAGTTTAAACGCAATTTCATATTAAGTTAAAAAAGAAAAATAATGCCGTTCTTCCTTGTATACTTACCCGTACAGTACGGTGAAGATCGCGAATGTCTGGGATCGGTGGTAAATCCAATTTGGTTATTCACAACGATGTGAATGGTACCATGAGTCGTATAATCAGGCAAATCAGACAAGTGCATCGTTTCAAAAACAATTCCTTGCCCGCAGAATGCGGCGTCGCCGTGCAGAAGAATAGACATAACCTGTGTCAATGATACAATTGCCAAGGAGATTTTAAATGATTCGAACTAAATTTCACCATCGGAATTAAATATTCTCTATATCGTACCTTTTTCCCTTCGCCATCGCCTCGATAGAACTGCTCGGCGCGAGTTTTTCCTTGCACGATCGGATCAACAGCCTCTAAGTGAGACGGATTGGCGACCACAGCCAACCGAATATTTTTATTCGTCACACGATTCAAACGCTCGATGTACGTTCCCAAGTGATATTTCACATCACCAGAACCCTAAACCGTAGTCAATCAGTCGAATGATATTACACACGTCGACCTCTAACCACAGACGAGATATCAGAATAGACCTAACATCTTATGGGACTTGGTGTCCCACAAAAATCACGCTGAAAAGTTTCCGACTTCATTATTGTCCCGGTTTCGCTAGCAAGGAATGAAATACTGAAATGGTACGAAGGCTTCTGACGCCTCCAAAGCATGAGACAAAAAACTACATTGCATGTTAGGCCTATTCTTATATCTCGTCTGTGCTCTAACTAAAGAAAAATTGTTCATTCGCTTACATCGTCGGCTGCTTCGAGGGCCGCGAACTGCGTGAATATTTGACTCAAAGGTTTACGGCAAACGTTTGCAAGAACGTTCAAACGACCACGATGAGGCATGCCCATCACGATCGATTCAACGCCTAATTCGGTAGACTTGTCGATTACTTGTTTCATAGCGGGAATTAAAATTTCACATCCTTCCAAACCGAATCTTTTCTCGGACGACCATTTCCGTGCAAGGAACGCCTCGAATCTGAAACGATAACATAGAACTGAATCTTCTTAAGCATTATGTGAAATTTGAGTTGATTTTAAGGCGTGTGAAATACCCGGTTGCGCGTGTCAATCTAGCCAAGATCAACCTCCTTTCGTCGTTCGTCACCTCCATAATACCAGGGGTCTCCATTTTCTGACGTATCCAGTTGCATTGTTCCAGGGAATTGATGAACATGAACTCCACACCGATGTGACCGCAATACGCGGACTCCAATCTTTTCAGGATCTCACGGAGCGGCAATGATTTGTCTTTGCCGCCGATAAAAGTGGTGGATGGCAGCTTGAAAATACGATCCATGTCCGATTCCTCTGTAGAAATTGTACAATAAAACTCTTGCTCGTCTCAGAAACAGAGAACGGATATACACAATGTAAACGCCATAGTTTGAATATAAACGCAATTACAGCACTTCTGAGCAAACTGTTACACAGTTATCGTACACATAAAAACTATGACACTTAATGTACAAACTTACACATAATATAAAATAACGTATCACTTATTGTGTGTATAGTGCTCCAAATGTTTAAAATGCTGCTACTAATTTACTCATTGGAGCACTGCATAAACACATTACACGCAATACAATATTTTTATTTTACATTAATCTCACTTGATGCGAGTCTTTTTCAAGACTGATACTGAAAATGTGAACTTGTGTATGAGGCCGAAAATGAAGAAAAATTTGCATTTGATAGAGCCTAAAACTGTACACACTTTGTACACGCTTGACTTTGTAAAGTGTAATTACTGGAATGTAATTATATATTTGCAAAATTTATATGTATATGTATATGCAAATAATTCCTGTAATAATGCTGCATGTATAAATATGCAAATTATTGGCAAATAATATTAACATGCACGATATCTTGAGGAATTACTAGATATATATAACAAACCTCCTCAATATTCAGAAAAATAGAAATAAGCAGAAGACTGGAAAAAGAACTTCAATAAACCGCAAAAGCTGTAAATATCGTTAAAGCATCATTAGTGAAAACAAACGTTAACAAAAGGAGAATACTACTAAAGAAACGTAATACGTACAAGAGTAGGACACTATCGTAATATTTGTAACAGATATAGAAACGAAAATAAAAGAAATTAAGTAAGAGGAAGCTAAAGAGGAAGTTTGAAAGAATAATTTAACAAATAATAATTTACCACGTGAAAGTATAATGTAATCTTTGACAACAATATGCGTGAAGTAGTATGATAAAGATCATACTTATTCCCTATACCTCCTCTAGTTCTTCCAAAACGAAATGTCTAAAGATTGTTCCTGACACAAACATATACACAGCAGAGTATAGCAATCATATAATTAATATTTATGCGGAGGACCCAAGCACCTTGACAGTTTTCCTACAATACCAATTTCTATGTAATCCCATCATGAACCAGCGCCTCCCCAAAGATACTAACAACTCACAGAGCTTTAAACAGAACTCCCACTTAAAATATTATAATTCTTACATACTTTTCATGAGTGTAGATACTCGGTATTGTAGTTCCTGAGAGTAAGTAGTACGTGTTCTGTTTCCTGTGGACATTAGACTTGGACTGAATAAGCTTAACAAACGGCGTGAGGAATCCTCACTTGCAAAGTACAGTAAAATTTTGGTCCTCAAATGTAACTGCGTATCAATAAACATTAATCTTTGTTCGACGTTTATACTTTAATTTCCATCAAAACACCTATTCTTATAATGTTACAGAAATCCTGAATTTAATTATCACTGCATTCGAAATGCTGTATTTTGTGTCCAGGAAAGAAATATATGATGGTGGAATATGAATGAGAATAATAAAAGTAACGCTAGAGAAGCTAATATCGCGATGAAGAAAGAAATAAATGCCTTATGTGGTTAAGTCTATAATAGAAGTGAATGAAAGAAATAGTAACGTTATACACTGTGTACTGCGAGCAGCTCAATTAATTTATATATTTTTAATACATTTGTATGTATTATTCGGAGTGCGTTATATAGTATCTTTACTTCTTCAATTTAAAAAGAGCAGAGACACGGTCATATGGGCTTACCGAATGAATAATGATTATAGAGCAACTCTTGTGGATGTCTATCATCAAGATCGGCGCTGTTGATGCCAAGTGGATCCAACTTAGCGATATGGTGGCCACGGATCTGTCAATTTAATGCCACATTCATACGAACCAAATAGTGTTTAATTTATTAAATTTACCAACACATTACAGTTAGTAAGAGAAATTACTGTGATCAATGTTTCATTTAAACGTATGTTCATGATTTAGAAGTATTAATTGAAAAAATACAAGAACACTGTTTCGCAAACATTCTATCACAGTAACTATAAGTAACACATTGTAATAAAAAGCATCTGAACAATTGAAATATGTTCATATTCCATACATGCCTTCCATCAATAAACCCGTAATGTAATTGTATTTAGGAATCTATTAGTACTTACTATATAGAAACAACGTGAAAATATCTCTCGGAAACGGAGACAGTAAATGAATATGGCAAAATATATTTATGTGAAATGCTACACTGTTGTACCAATATACATTCCGTACAATGAGTTGCAACACGTAAAAGCTGAGCTAGAACCAACATCTTTTATGAACATGCAAAGCAAGAATCTCTAAATTTTCTCCTTACCTCGGACAATTTGAAATATTTATCCCATTTAACGATACATTGTAGGATACTAATACACTGATTGTAAAACAGCAAAACTAAAAGTTCACTTAAAAACGTCTTCCGATGTGTATTAACATAACATTGATACAAACCACGAAATACAAATCAATGGATATCGTAAGTTTTCCTAATAAAAACATTTTCAGTATCAGTAAGAAACTATCATGGAATAACATTCACATAACACCTTCTCAGTGTCTTTAAGGTACAGACTAATTACTTTCATTATATTTTATTACAACAGAGCTAAATTCATAGTTTCGTCAACTTTCCATATAAATGTGTGAAAAACATTGCTTCTTCGATCATTTCAACTATCTTCTAATGATATGAAATATATACAAGGTGCTCGTTTTATATTACATTCCATATGATAAAATCATAAAAATCTGGAGAGCAAAATGCTTGACCTTGAAAAGAGTATTGAAAATAAAAAATTTATTTAGTATATGATGCATAGAACATCAGATCAAAAGAAGGTATGAAGACAGTTAAGAAGGAATTAATGTGTATGATAGAGACCATGATTATCATGTATGAGATGAAGTGTGATGTACGTATTGGGTGAAGGTGTTTTAAAAGCACTTATCCTTTGAAAATTTTAACATTTGCACGAATCACAATGAAACCAATGGAAACAGATATCTCAGCAACAATTACTATGTTGTATTTTTATACACCTTTACCTTATGGTACACATGAAAACCGATTAAAGTATTACTTTAAGGAATTGGTTTGGGGTAAGCCTTACCAAGCATATATTGCCGTAGAACCTGTTCTGGAGACCCCTTGCGGGCTGCATAATGTGTGTGTATCAGGTCTGTTTGCATGATACCCAGTGGGTCCAGATCAGCGACTAAATGACCTCGAGCCTATATGCCAATGAATCGTCCCAAAAGAACCCGAATGTATCAAATATTTCCACTTGTCAAATTTTACTATGTAACGTTATGTTATAAAAATATGTTTTCCTCGAATGGACAGATAAGCAACTATTCAAATGTCGAAACACTACTTTCTATAACAGGACGTTAACTTTAATTATTCCATCGATCTCGTGGAATTATCACTTAATGGTTATAAAAACATTATATTTCTGTGAACATACGTTTTTTCTTTTTTTTTTGTAATAGACAAAAAGATATTGTTTCAGTCTACTTTCTGAAAATTAATTATACTTTGTATTAACTTTACACCTTATTAACTACATCATCTTGACTATGTACTTTCTATTAGTAATAGAGAAAATATGTGTAAGCAATTTTTGACCAGTGGTTAACACGTTGACTGCCGAACAAAATTCTCTATGGTTGAAATTTCAATTATTAGAAATACATAATGTCGACCACCGGTGACCTCGGTGGCCGCCTACCAGAATTTATAATGTCGGCCACCAGTGACCGGCCTGGCAGTCAACCTGTTAATAATGGAGGTATTAATACGCATATAGTTTATACATATTACAAAGAATAAAATTTAAACATTTATATTTTGAGAAGTTTTGTTAAGAACATGCAAAGCAAAAGACGCAGCGAACGGGTAATATAATAGTAATAATAAGAAAACGAGGCTATTACGCAATATTTGAGAATAACTTTTGATGTTTACTTGGTACTTCGTGTCAGTGTTCTTTTATTGGGTTACAATAGGATGAGATAAAATATTCCCCGACACATACATGATAGCCCCTAATAAAATAGTTTCTATATCAATTTCTCATGTTCCAATTTTTACCGATTTTATTTTTTTAATAACGTTACATGTATTTATTTACTGATTGCACGTTTGAAAAGTAAGTTATGTTAGTCATATTAGTAATTAGAATTATCTGATTAATTGGTAAGAAACGTTGGAGGCAAAAATTGAAAAGAAACTTTCACATGCATTATGATTATAAGAAGTTGCCTTTAACATAAAACATACGTATATTTCCACGGGTCATGCGAAAAATTTACTGATTTAGACTGCACTATTTCAGTAATATAACAGAAGTTTTTTAACTTTACTGATTAGAAAATAAAAAAAATGGAACAACTACAAGCTTTGACATTACATATAACAACAAGATGTAACACAGTTTTACGTAATTTCATACTTTGCACAAAATAATATTACATGAAAATAATTTGTGTATGGATAAGAACATAAAACACTGCCTGAAGATATTAGAAGCATAATTAAAAGAGAATTTCTAAAGTGCTAATATATGTAGCATAAAAATATAACAAAAATATTTTGTTTAAGTATAATTATAATTGTTCCTTTATTTTGTACATGAAACGCAAAATATACATACCTGGTAGGATCGAATAATAGCTTGCACAGCCAAATGATCGTCGATTATTTTCTCATTAACAGGTATTTGGCTTAATTGAGATCCACCACCAAGCGGTAACAGTGCTCCTAGTGGTATTTGATTATGACTTGGTGCTAGAGATGGAGGAGCTTGATATGCGAGACCTGGTGGAGCTCCAGCTGTGCTACTACGAAAAAATGAATCCCAGGACTGTAAAAAGTATGTGAATACGATTAAATACATCAGAAAACATCACTTGTAACTTGAGAATAGAATATTTTAAATAATTTGTTACCGACCACATGTACACTGTGGGGATCTTGTAACCATGCGTTGTACATTTCTTCTACGTATGAACTGGAACTGCCATTTAAGAATGGTTCTGTGGCCACACGGCTGTTGTACTTCCTGACAGGTTCATTGACCATTACACGTGTGGTCCTAGACAAGGGATGGCTCCGTACCAACCATGACGCGAACCTCTCTGGCCCACACATGCGTGGAGCCAAAGGGGCCAATGTACTAAATACTGTCTTTGCTTTATACATTTTTCACCTAGAACAAGGAATATGTATTACTATGATGATAAACATATGTGTTCAGCATACAATTTATAAAAGTTACATATTGTATAAATGTTGTGTCATGTTGCAATATAAGTACAGACATGTAGAAAAAGTTCTGCAGATTAACCTTCTACCCGAGATCATGGATAAATCAAAATTTCTTATCTACAAGATTAAAAGAAAGATTTCTACATATTGCATTCATCCAGAATATAAATACTTTTGATACGAGTTCTCTGCTTATCAACTCCTTCTTATGGATAACTCGAATTGAACGTGATTGCTCTTATCTATGTTTACTAATAACATATCATTGCCTTACTGTATCATGTAATTTCTTTCCCTTGCTTGTTATGTATAAAGATCAAGAAGTATGATATTTAAAAATATATTTGAATTTCCTTTTAATTTTAATTGTAGATCTACATTGCACAATGATTTAAAGGTGCTAATTTTAAAATGTTATGTGATGAAATCAATTAGTCTCTATATTCGGCAGGAAAAGCAGGAAGTGTTTTTCAAAGAAGAAATTTATTATTCTATATAAATTTAAAGATACTTTTAAATGATACAGCAAACAAAAGTTTACATGTGGAATTATTTAATTTAAACTAATATTCAAATAACTGAGGTATTTCACTACATCAAATAACAAAATGCCAGACTTATTTAAAAAATTGGCAAATACCCAAGGTATGTTCTCCTATATTATATACATAGAGTAAAATGCGTATTAAATAATTAAAACTCCTGCAGAACAGATTTTAACACATTGATATGATTGTGTCATTTAAATTTGTAAATACATTTAATAATGAAAATATAAAATTCTTGCATTATTAATTGTATTATATATTTAAAATCATTTGTCCTCATTAGAAAGATATTTCAGAGCATAAAATGTTATAAGAATATACCTGTTTGATAATCTGTTCAAGAAACAATATAACAAATGTTGCAATGAAGTCCGATCTATACAATTAACTTAATCTATTATAATCATAATAGCCAAAGAAAATTCCCACTACAGTTTTTGTATTAAATTGTGTTGTATAAATTGAAGATCAGAACAAGAGATTATATCATAATCTATGTAATCAAAATTTACCAAAAAAATATAATACACAATTATTTGTAATATATGACAGAATAAAAACTCTAAACAAAAGAATATGATTCAATTTGATATATTCTATTATTGGAAAATGTAAATGAAATATTATATCTGATTAAAGAAAAAGAGACAATTGAAAATCAAGAATAATGAAGAAGTATGACAAGACACTGACCTAATTTCTATATTATAACCCTTCCTGCATTGGGCTTTTTTATAAAATCGCAGGTAATCCTCGATTTACTATCTAAATTTACAGAAATTATGTACAGATCTTCAAATCCACATGGGAAATTATTTTTTCCTGAAAGATCGTTATTCCAAAGAATTAAAGAAGCCGATTAAAATGGATTTCGGATTTTCAAGACAACTGAATACATAACTGCAAGTAACTGTCATCGTGAGACAGTGTGTCAGTGCCCATGTGACATTTGTATCTTAAAAACGTGGTTAAATGTCAATCGACCTACATATATACGTCCGTAGGACTTACATTCTACATAAAACGACGCAACACAACTAAAAAAAATGAATTATTAACTTAAAATACACCAAAGACTAATCACGATTACTCACTCATATAGAACAAAACTATAGCGATTACACAACTGCATTCAACATACGTATGTGTACATTAGAATTCCTGGTTTTTCGGTCGTAACCAGGTAATAGGTTAATTTTTTGATTTGCATACAATACATTCCCTACGAGTAGATTGCAAGTATCTACAAGAAACATGTCCAAAGATTCCGATCATCTTTTATTTTTTCAAAAATACAGGAAGAACAATCGCATTTGCGAGTCAGGTGACTATTTTCGTCTGGTGCAACAATTTACGTAATCGACGAAAAACTTCAGTTATGGAATTAATTCTCCATATCGAAGCTATCTTCTTTTACAGAACAATCAATAATCGCTCGTAGAAATCATATAATCTTCTCTTTTTTTTTCATCGAGGTGAAAAAAAATCAAGAGTATGCGAAGCAGAGATTCACGTACCTGATGTTAACGCAACCAACTATGACAGGCCATCCACCATTTGCAACTCACAAGTAGATCGAACTACGTCTTCCTAAAATATATCCGACAAAGAGACCACAGCGCACCTAACGTCCAAATACTGCAAATTGGTGTCACAACGTTCGATTTAAAAATGCACTGAACGGTACGCTTTCTTTTCGGCATTATTGTCTTTATTGATTAGTTTAAAGATGCGTTCAAATTCGTTACCAACTCAAGAACATTCGTAATTCACTATACAACACTAACGAATACATCAGAATTATGAATTATACTGCCTTTTTTAATGCGTAAGTACTATTACAGACGAGATATAGAATAGACCTAACATCTTATGGGACTTCGTGTCGCATGTTCTGAAATACCGATCGTGCAAAAAATAAAATATTTTCTGCTGCCCTCTACGTTACGGGAACGGTACATTCGGGAATTACATTCAATTAAATTTGAAGCTGTCCAAAAATCTTCGTTAAAAAAAAGTCACGTATTGTATATATTGCATATAGTTACATATTGTTCGCCACTTTGCAACAGAGAGAACGATGCTCTTCTTCTAAGAGCATCGACTCTCTGAAACGTACTCGCCTTCTGAGAGTATGCCACTCCTTTTGTTTGCAATAATTGGTTCGTATACAGCTAAACGGGGTGATCGATGAAACTTTGATTTTATTTATCTCTTTTGTTTAGCCACTGTGGCAGGATAGAGAGATCGATGAGCCTCGGTTTCATCAGATGGAGTCTTGGTTTCATTTGTCGTTCTATCTTGCATTTAGTTTAGTTAGTTTAGTTAAATCGATTGTAAGACTAGTGTAAGCTCAAGAAAAAAGACAACGATCGTCCGAAGTGGAATCTTCATTTTATTTTGATTTACACTCAAGAAAGAAGACATCCGCCGAGGGAAATCAACATTAAAGCGTCTAAACTTAAGTTACTTAAGTTCATTTTAAGTCTTTGTAAAATGGGAGGTAGATGAAACTAATGATTCCATCGATGTAACTGCAGTTACATAGAATGAATTTCTCTAGTTATAAGATCGAATATTTTTGGTGAATGTTCTATCGTAAATGAAACTTAGAATATTTTAAGGCTAAATGTAAGATAGAAGATCTTTGTTAATTATATGAATACGTGAAACTGAATAATAAAATGCAAGAAGTCACATATATATTCGATTATTTTAATAAATTCATATCCTACAATTGAAACAAAGTTGAAGTAATATAGTGTATGTAGAAGTTTGGGTAGCTGAGCTCTAATTGGATCGGAGTTCATTATTTAATTACTCGCAATAAGTAAAATTATTGTAAATAAATGATGGATAAATAAAGTTATAAAAATTCACCAATTGCCAAAACGTATTTATTATTTATAGCAGCCTAAATTTATATCGATCAGATGGCGTTTCACCTCAATACAAATTGTGGATCGCAAACTGAATGCTTATGATTTGTGCAGTGCAATGTCGGTGCTACATAAGTTTCATGTAACACAAACCAAGATTCAGGGCAGACAATTTTTTTAAACAAAAAAGTAACGAGCGGAAAACAAAAGATTAGCATGCAAAAATGTAATCGGTTCACGATAAGCAGATAACCTGTGAATTTCAGTATCACGTTTTTTTTTTGAAGTTCCTTTTATTTTTGTATTGTTACAAATTTTGTTTACCTCTTAAAATATTGTTATTGTTCTATGACCGTTACTTGAAAATTAAACCATGAAATTTGATTAAAATAAAAATGGATACTTTACCAAAAAAGTGCTTTCGTGGTAATTATATTTCTCTTCGATTTTTTCTTTTATTATACTTTTCTCTATAAAAATATAATTCTTAAAATATATAGTTTAACAATAATGCATTAATGATAAATCAATGTTTTCTTTTTTAATTCAATTATATTAGCCCAAGATATGAAAAAATGGTTACAACAGACAAATTTAAAATGCGAATCTGTGCAGTATCACATGAATTATTTAAAGATGGCATGCCATGACATGCGACAAGAAATTTTGGAACCAGACAATATATTGTATGGCTCGGACTACTGTAATGCTAAAATTAAAATATCGGATATAGATAAACCTGTGACTTCTAGAGAAATAAATTGTAATGATTCTTTGGCAACGTCATCTGATACCAAATGTATATCTATAAATGATAATGGTATATGGAAACTGTTTTTGATTATTGTATATCGTAAAGTAAAAGTAGATAATCAATAATTTAAAATGATTTTAGTAATAGATGATAATTTTAATAATTATCTTTATTATAGGAAATGTGGAGAATTGTGATCCATTTGAAAGTCAAACAATAGAAAACATGTTACCAAAAGTTAATGTGCAATACAAAGGTAAAGAAAAGATTGAAAATATAAATATGCAAGAAAAATTAGAACATGAAACACCTGTAGTTACATCTGCAAGTCATAGATATATTCAGAGTCCTCCAAATCAATCCTTATCATCACCACCAATTTATAAGGACAATGTGGTATTGCGTATTACATTTATGCATTGAACATATTTAGTGGAAACATTCTAATGAATAATTGTCCTTACAAATGTATATAAATTATAACATTTTATTGACAGTACGAAGAACAAAACAACAAATGGCAGGAACCATATAAACAGCACCTAACAGCATATTCATCTAAGCTAATGCAGAATCATGAACACCCAAAAAAATGTTATAAAGAATTAATTTTGGATAATAGAAATTTTACCTACATGGAGGATTTACCTTCTACAAAAGATGATCTTAGATTAAATACCTTGGGTAGTTTAAAAAATGGAACTGGGGGAAAGACTAAAGTTTGTAGAAAAATAGAAAAGAAAGAAAAACCAGTTCCTTCTACACTGCCAAGCAAAAAAGACACTTTGTCTAAGTTAGACGATGTTGCCTCACTGAAACTTAAAAAACGGAGGAGAAGAGTGCACAGTTCTAATTCCAAAAGTACTGTAACCACAAGAGATACAAACTTCGTAGGAAGAAAGGATGTAAAAAAACGAAAACAAAAAAGTATGAAGTAAAACTATTGTACAAACGAATTGTATATTATTATTTGTATACTTTCAGGTAATAATAATCGTCATACAAAGTCTCGTCAGGCTGCTAACGAAGTAGTCGAAATTTATCATAATTCAGCGGCAAAGGATGGTAATAATTCTGTCAGCCCTAATAAACATTCTGGAATTGACTCTAACATCAACTATATTAACAGAACATCCTTAGGTACAAATAAGCAACATAATGTACATGCAAAAGTAAAATGTGATAACACTAATCATTATCGGTATAACTGTAACATTAGTGAAGATAATGGACCAGACAAGCCTCTGAAGCAATGTCAATCTAAACAGTCTAAGCAGACTATTGAGTAAGTTCGAATGATAATGAATTATAAAGATAATAAAATATCACACATATTTCTGATTGCAGGGAAAAGAGCACAATCCTTCATAATCAAAAGTATGCTTTGGAGGTTCAGAATGCTCCTATGTATACAATGGAGAAATGCAATTCACGTCAGTGTCAGCAGTCAATATTACAGCCATCGTACTGCAACCCAATGATTACCCATAGTTACGAAATGCCAACACTGGCTTCAAAATTGAAACGAGTAAATCGTTCGTACTTTGGTAGATTCAATTTTAAAAACATACCTTTTGTAGTGGGTACTTCTATAACTCCAAGTCACAATATAGGTTTAAATATACAGCAAGTACGTTGGTTGATATAAAAATGTAGAAAAGTCACTATTACAGATTTTTCTTTATTCAAAAGGTTTTAAGTATAATGAAAACAAGACATCCCACAGTAAATGGAGTTACTCCTCTTCTCATTCGTAAAGTTAGCAGAGGCATGAAACCTGTGTCTACTCTCATGGGACAAATAAGTAATCACAACAATAAGTTGCCTGGGGTGAATTCTCAGATGATTAATACATTCCTGCACAAAGCAAATTCATTTCTAACAGAACCATTCAACGTATTTGAAAACGAAAGCGTCTCTTTAAGTTATGATATTAAAGCTTTACGAAATTTGAATGTAAATGTAAATTCAAGAAATGTAGAAGAAGCAGTTGCTGCCAACAATACGGTTGAGCACGAGAAGTTTCAGACAGAAAAGGTTAATCTATAAAAAACCGAAATTAAATCAAATATTTATTATGATTCCGAGATGCTTTACGTTGAAATATGAAAATGTTTTGTTCGCAGAATACATGGTCAGAAAATCAATTGAATCGATGGAACATACGGCAAATATCACAGACGGCAGATAATGATAACGTACTGAAGTTATTTTCATCTCAACAAAACGTAAATACACAAATGAAGGTTCAGGATAACCACCAACTACAGTCGCCAGTAACAGCATACAAAGTAAAATCAATGTAATTAATAAATTAATTGAAAATACTAATACAAGAAAATTACAGGGTAATGAATACGGTACGAATATGTGTAATATTGAACCAATTAACAAGAATTCAAACAGAATACGGGAAGTTCTTATTAATCTTCACGATCAATTCGAAGAAATGAACACGTAAGTTGCATCAGTCAATGTTCAAACACTGGAATTGTTAGCAATGTACTTATCTAGAATCAATTTTAGAAAATATGAAAAATTGCAAGTAGAACTAGAAAATTCTGACGATAAAAAATTAAAAGAAGAGGCATTGACTTTAGAAAAAGAGTTGAGTGCAAAAGAAGATGAGATAACTGCTGTTATCAATCTATATAAAGAGGTAAAATGGTTTCGTATAATTGCCGATAATAACAATATCAACCGTTTATTGTATCTGTTATTAGGTAATGGCACTAAAACAGCAAATGAAATCGCTGCAGGGAAAGAATAGTTACGTCTGCATAACAACTGAAGTTCCAGTGGATTCAAACGGCCCCGACTCATCGATGCCTTTTACAGTAGCTAAGTCTAATGGAACGATCATTCAGCAAAAATTCAGTGAAAAAGTTCATCACAGAAGAAGAAACACAATCATCGCGACGAGAGAACCTACGTCTCTGCGATTAGCTGGTCTTTTGCGGCAAATCCAAACATTTCAGAAACAATTGAGATTGTCTTCTTGACATGAATATATGCAATTCTGGAGGTGAGTTCAATTCATTATGTGATCGACATAGTTACCATATGGTAATTATTGAAATTTTTGTTACACACATTTAAACAGAGAAACACGAATCTTGAATGGATTCAGGACGCTGCTCTGTTTTTTTTTATATTAAAATAACTACAAGACACGGGAAAAAGAGTGATATTTTTTTATTGAAATCATCATAAGTGCCGGTCCAACACTTGGTAGAAACACATCTCAGAGATGTACAGCATTAAGTAAATAAAATTTGTATCATTTTCCTTAAGCAAGTAATTAAGTTTTTCACTGAAAGATGTCTGATTTATCGACATCTGAGAAGGGATTACCGGAACATTAACTATATAAGTTGTCAGGATTAATTTTCGGGATGAGTAAAATGCTTCTTATACCGATTTATACTCTTTTTTTTTTGTTTTAATTAGATTCTGCGGCTTACTCTTATAACGTATAATATTGATTTCTATATGTGTATGATTTTTTTTTATGTATTTATGTATGCAACTGGTTGTATCTATACATATCATGTGTATGTACATACAGAATCACATGTTTCTGAACCTTAAAGGTTATCAACATTTTGCTAATTCACCCCTTGTTATTTATCGTCAGTTTTTATGTGTCCGTTTTTAATGCATGCTCGAACATACCGTAGAAATGGATACATAAGACTAATGTGTTAGATACATCGTAAACACTGTTCACTGAACCATCTCGAGAAATTGATCGTTTATTTCATGAACTAAATTTCGGTTTGCTCATTCTCAGTGACTCAATTATTGATGCACGCGAACTTTCAATTCGAGTGCACCAGAAATGACTCTTTCAAAAATTGCAAACTGTCCTCACGTGACGTAAATATAAAATTGTAGTCTTATTAAGACATCGCTCTTCCTTGCCCCTACTATAAAAGATTACTGCTCGTGCACGCAAAATCTATCAAAATAAAATACTTCTGTGATATTGAATGTAAAATATTCAAAAATTCTACATCGATTGATTAAGAATACGAGTCACTGTGGCAATCCCCAGAAATCACGAGAGTAGGGCAATGTTAATGAACGACAGAGAAATATTTCGCTCGTAAATTTCCTTCAAAAATTAAGTATCCGCAGGAAATACATAAAACTTACAATAAATGGTCAGATTCTCGGTAATTTTGATTATTCCACATCAACTCGTTCTTCTACAAAAGTATGCAGCGTCACTTAAACCTATTACTCTTGCTTAACGGTCTTTTCAGCAGATCATCGATCTCGATTATTTTCTACGAAGAAGTCACTCTCGAATGTTCTCTCGTGTTCAGAAGTCGTTTACACGGCAGAGACACTGAAAACCATTTCATACGCTCCCATATGAACGCAAACAGCATATATACCTCTCATATCACAGACTAAAAAATGCTTTGGTCTAAAAAAAAAAAAAAAAAAGAAAGAAATAGTTATTCGATTTTCTTTTTGTCCCCGCGCATTTTACTCTCAGGAAGAGAAAACAATCGTTCCAAATTATTGGTATTATACTGTGAACAAGGAACAAAAATTAAACCGCCAATATGCAACGGAGAATCTATTAGATTGCTTTTATCTATGCAAGATTCAAATTATTCGATATGATAATTCGTGTGACATCACACCTGTCGTGTATATGTATATATTACTCTGTTACATTTTAACCCTTGTTCCGTATTAAAGTTTAATGTTTGTTGTTTCCTAGTGCTATTAGAAGCTATTTAAAAAATAAAAAAAAACGCGTACCCCTTTTGCATGCTTGCCACGTCAAACTCGAACTCACAAAGCATTTCTTCCTTTTTATTCGACACCAACTAAACTAACCTAAACTATAGCACCCTCGTTCGAGTCTTCGTCAAAGTGAAGTTTTAAGACTATCGCTTAGAAATTCTAGAGAGCCGGCGGATTCATTAGATTTAATCATCTGAAGATTTTGCTCAACGCAAACAGATTATAAAACATAAATCAACGAGCTTTTAATGAATATGTTTAATACATACGCTATAAGACTGTAACAGTTTATAGTACTCTACAATTAAAACATGTGGTATCTCTTACAAGGTACTTACATTACGAGTAACCCCACAAATTCGTTCTTTACTCTCATTATTCAATCCGGTGACAATTCTCAGAAGAAAATTAACACACCGATTTTATCGTCAAACGATCTGCACTCACTGGACATCTGACTTCGATATGGAAGCCAGAATCGATTTCCTGCAGCACAATTTCTATGTAAAGAATAATACCATCTCTCGACTGCCAAATCGGTCGTTAGAAAATAAGTAATATGATTAAGCAACAGATTGTATTAGAATTTTTATACAAAACAAAAAGATATATAAAACGTGTTTTATTATATTCATCTCGAATATAAAAGCGATCTCACAATATAAGTCCGCGACGGTTCGCTGATCCTTTTATCCGTGTGATAAGTAACGTATACACATACCGTGTCAACTGTGTTCCATTAATATCTTTTTCGGATCTCTTGCTTTCTATTTTCGAACTTCCAGTATTTGCACATTCAGGAATGCGTGAACATAAAAGATACGAGGAGATCGTACACCGACAATACTGTGCAATGTAAGTGTGAAATCGTTGTAAAATAGAAGGAAGCAAGTTTTTTCGGGTATGTTATAAATTCATGAAACGTTTGCCGGTATTAGTAAAAGTATGTGTAAAACTGTCGATGGAACAAGCAGTTTACACTGTATTCGTGTGGACAGCGTTTCGTTCAATGAAATGTTTTCACGTGCAAAATTCTTGTTCATACAAATAGGTGGACATTTGTAGCGAGTTGATATTATATGCTGTGTTAAAATCGACGTCGAGTATTTTGAGAAAGTCACTTGCATTTTGACGAATCGTACGCATATCGTAGCAGCCACTGTCATTCTCTAAATATTAGTGCTTAGGGTTCATAGTACTAGACTGATAAGTCCTGTATCATTCACTATCGTATAACACCATTTTTGGATGTTACGTGTGTTTCCACTCGAGTTCTCGAAACACCGAGAAGCAAACAATACGGCATTGTGTTCGACAATTGTTTCCAACCGTATCATTGTACTGACTCGATCTCTTGATTTGCAAACGGCAACACCCGAACGATCATCCACATCTGTTGAACTTGAAGGGACAATGATAATGCGTATATTATTCACAGTACCGTTGCTCGTCATCTTAAATGTTTTTGATTCTTCGATAACTTAACGTTTAGTTACCTTCCTTATTTCCATACCGTCTTTTCTTTTTTTAAATTACTGTCTCTATCAATAGAATTATTGTATATAACACATGGCACGAATGTAATGTGATAGATCGACTCTATAGCAACTACTGTGCACGTTCCACGATGCATCTTTCGGGAGTTCGTTCGTTGCGTCGTATGCATTTGGTCATCAAGCTGCCAATTAGATACTACGTCAAGCATTTTTCGCTACAAGAGCATCGATCAGTCTAAGCTTCGCTTTGGCCTGTTTGTACGATTCGTAAACGTTAGTGACTTGCGGGCCACGATCTTCCCTTTGCATTCTGCGACCGGCGCGAACTTCAAACTGTGCCTCCAATTCTTTCAGGGCTCGACGAAGACGTTTCTTTTCTTCTCTGGTTAGTTGCTGTTGAATCATCAGCTCTTCTCTGAAATCGAACCGAACAACGTTTACTGGAAAAAATTCGAGTTGAACGAGAGAACACTGGCGCATTTAGATGAACCTTACTGTGGAAGCGCATGAAGGATTTCATTGTTGCTGCGACTTCCTTCGCTGCTGCTGTGTTGACTATCACTGTCGGTTGGTAACTGCTCCACCGGATCTATGCAGTCTAAAATGCCTCTGTGCGACATGTCTGGTTCGCTCGCTCTCCTCTCCGTGTCCGACTGATTACCAGGAAGATTTGATGACGTGAAATCCATTGCTTCGTGTTCCAAGATAGTCGCCAATTCCGAAATGCTATCCTTATTTTTGTTCTGCAAGAACACAGAAACGGTTCGAGACAACCTAAATTGTTAATTATTTTATTATCGCTGGTGACGCTAAAGATACTCACCACTCCCGCTCTAATCAGTAATCGTTTCAAGGTTCTGTATCTGTCGTATAATGGTCGAACAACGACCCTATCTTCTTTCGAGACGGGCCTTCCGAAAGTGTTCTCGATATTAAGCAAAGCTTTCTGCACAGCAGTCTTTTCATCCATCAGTTGCTCGTACGTGAGTTCCTCCATATTGTCGGGTCTGTTATATTTCACTCTCTTCTCGGTGAGCTTTTTCTCAATCTCCTTCACAGTTTCTTCCATCGACGTAGCCATCGACTTTTCTTGGCTGTTATTGTTGTTCGTCGGGCTATCGCATGCGATTTTTCTTCTATTGTTTGCATTGGCTAGCAACGCGCTCACCGGATCTTCTTTCAAAAGTTTATGCTCCTTTCGCAATTTATTCAACTCCGTGCACAATCTTTTCACATCCCTGTTACTCATCTTGTCCGAATGACTCGGACGGTGGCCGAAATTCTCTTCAAACTCATCCTCGTATTTCTTGATCTTTTTCTTCAAGCCATTTATGTGTTTCGTCAGACTTTTTAAACCGAGCTCCGCGATACTTGGCGTGTTCGGCTGAGCTTCGCTTTCAGAATAAAATCGTCTGGGTAATAACAACGAATTTCGCGGAGATAGCATGGCTTCTACTCGAGCGTCAGCGGCTTCTCCCTGCAAAGGTATAAGCAGCATGTAATAAGCTACCAATGACATTAAGAGCACTCGTCGTCGGTTCATCGTTATTTACATTTTCTTGGCGTTGAAAGGTCCAATTGGTCAAGCTGGGATTGTTCAAGTCCTCGTGATCGACTGTTGGCGGACGAGCCGGCGACGGGGATCGGCTCGGTCCGCTGCTCAACATTTCCAAAAAGCTTTGCCCCGGCGAACCATTGTAACGCTTGGGACTCGAGGACACGTGATAAATATTCTCCGGTCCGTCTTCATTTTCCTATGTGTGAGGATATTATTCGATTTGTTATAGAAACGTTATTTCAATCCTTCTTTCGCCATGCAGCATAAAAAAAAAAATAAAAATCTACCTTGCTGGAACTCTCCGTGTCCACGATCTTGTGCACCCTTCTCCTACGAGCTTGTCGCCTTCCCCTCGGAGTGATGCTTCTGCTGAAACGTTCACTGCTCCTCAACTTTTCGACATCGCGCTCGAATTTCTCCGTTTCCAAGGCAGCCTCGCACGGCAACGGAAACGATGGGATTTTCTTTGACACGGGTGAAACGTTCGTTCTCTCGTGCAGAGGTAGACTTCCGCATCTCTACAAAAAAACGTCGGTACGATCGAATAAGTTTCTGCGTAACCGACAATTAATTAAAAAATTCAACCAAAGCTTACCACGCCATGACCCATTTCTTGTCCTAGCTGAGACAATACGTGCAAATGTTCCTCGCTGTTGAAATCCTCGTGACTGCTCACGCGTCTGATCGTATCCGCGGTTTCGGTCGGACTTTCGAGGACACGCTCCTCGCTGCTGCTTCTAAAAATTGTTTCATGTTTCATTAAACTAACGAACATATTCACGGCGTTACCTTTATTACTAAACTACGGATTTTATGCATTTATAATAGGGATCTGTCGAGTACAATAAGGGACAAAAATTGGATGCAACAAGTTTTCTATTTTATTCTGAACCCAATAAAAGGTACTTAAGGGAAGATAACAATTTCTATATTTGCTCTTGTCCCTATGTATAAAAAGTTATTTTGCACACAAATCCGCAGTCTATTTATTACCTTTACACTTAGTTAACTCTATACTTCAAAGTAGTTTTTTTATACTGTATATTCTGTATCTCTCTCGCGTAACAAAAGGGATTACCCGTAAAATAAATTTACAATATTATTAATTATAAATTATAATTATCTTCGTAATTCGCACCTTATTAACTTTCTTTCCTGACAACAGGATTCACGACGTTCTTTGCGCTTACGCGGTTTCAGCGCGCAAAGCAGGAACGCGCTGTCGGTCTCTGTATCCTTCGGTTCGTCCTTTGCGTCCTTGCAGAATTTACAATCACTCGCAGGGATCACGCCGTTCACCGCGCTGTTATCACGAATGCTGAAAAAAAAAAAACTTGTTTTTATTACCCTGTACCATAGACGTAAAATACCTAGATCACGCATTTTAGTCGTACAGCATCTAACTATAATTTTTTACACGGCCTGACTATGGAAGATATTCAGAACGCGAGGTTTAGGTATTACACGTCTATGCGCTGTACCGGACGAATAATTTCTGCCTGAGATCCTATTAAATTTTTGAAGAATAAAAATGACGACGCCGACAGACATGTTACCGATGTACGCGCGTTTTCTGTAGTAGTGGTAAACGCTTTCGCGGTGAGTCATCGCTCCTCGGGATATTATGAGTGTATGTACTTGCTTTTACGTGACCGGCGAACCCATTGAAACGAACCCAGCACTCGGATGCGTTCTTACGGTAATTTACTACCTACATAGTATTATAGTAAAAATATTGGAAAGGTCTGATGATTGACGTATCGAACAACGTTGTCCCTTATAGTATATTATTTCTCCCGTGGTCAGGAGCAATCGGAAAATTCCATTGTCCCACGCCGTATAAGACCGGTTCGATCGGAACCCATAGAAAATTAACCAAGTAAACAGCATCAATGCCGACACGTCGGTCGTTCCCATTAATCCAATTGGCGGCGCAGCGGCCAATCGATTACGAAACAACCGTACCGAAGCCAGACAACGAAAAGTGGAAGCGTATCGGAAACATATAAAGCTGAAAATTATATGTTCCACCACGGATTACCGCAATTGACTTAGAACATTCATGGATAAACCGATACGGTCCCTACAATTTAATCATCGATCGATTGATGCATGCACAATTCACGTGATACTTATGTATAACGTGTATTCCCATGTATTAATGTTCGTCTGATTCGCCATTTCTGCGTTTGGGCACGGAAGCAAAAGAAACGAGGCGTCTTCGATAAGAAATGTATATTTAGATCTCAGGTGATTCAATCGGGATGCAACCAACGAACCGACAGATACCGGTTTCAATTAGTTCGATCAATTTTATCGGTCACTCGACAACAATTTATCGATCGTTTTAAGGAATATATATGCAACACCGTTATCGACTAGAGTCTTGAGTAACAATGCTTTATAGACAGACACTTGTATAACTAGCGTATAAAGAAAAGTATACGAAATCGGATTACTTGCGCGATAGCATAACGATACGGTTGCATAACGTAGTAAAAGGATCAAAATCTCGAAAATTATCAAATGTAGCGGTGATTCCGCAACAATACTGTTTGTACTACTGATTGTATTATACCCTCACGAGGTAAACTCGGTTTCCACTAGGGGAAAAAGTGAGGTAGGCGAAGGGCCACTTACCATTTAGTTTTGGGAGTTACTGAAATTTATTCCAAATTAACATTCGGTTTAACATTTATTTCAGTACTTGAAATAAATTTACCAAATGGTAGGAGGCCCTTCTCTTGTGTCACTTTTTCCCCTAGCGGCGTAAGAGAAAGATCTCTTACAATTTGAAAAAATTTATTTCAAGTTCTGAAATAAATGTTAAACCGAATGTTAATTTGGTATAAATTTTACTAACTCCCAAAACTAAATGATAGCAAGCCCTTCGCCAACTTCACTTTTTCCCCTAGCGGAAGCCGAGTTTGCTCGTCGTTGTACAAGTATTATCTACATACTGGGAACAGGGTGACTAATTCCAGATACGCTGTAATATACTCTTGTATATCCAAGGCTTAGGTTAGTTAACTAACAATTACGGACATTTGCCGAACAACAAAGAACAGCATCGGTGTCCACAACAAGCGTAGAAAAACTCACTGTACGAGAATCCCTTTTCTTGGTAGCGGTCGCTCATGTAATCACGAACACCAACTTTCTTTTCCAATGGTGGACCACCGGCGCGAAGACGAGTCTCTCGGTGATTCGATGAAACATTTATGGTCACCTTAGACTAAGTAGTTAGAGGTAACGATCGAACGAAAGACAGAGAGAGGAGAGAAGAGCCAGAGAATATGATTTCTTTAGCGAATAACACCCACGGCCCGAAGAAAACTTCGTTCCAAGTTCGAAGATCAATATGGGGTTCGGGTCGAAATCGCAAGGCAGTTATTTACACAAGGAATCGATTACAATCGTTTCCTGCATAATAATTGCGTGAATCCAGTATGGAATGCCGCGAAATGCCCGGAACGCCGATTCTTGGTCGACTACAGGGATAAGGAAAGCGCGGGACGATTCACACGGTCGGTTTCACGTTCAGGGTCGCGCCCACGATCTGTGGTGTCACGATGATACCACGGAACACACCTTGGAACGCGTACGCAGCGCGACGAGTCTGAAATCGGACTGTGCCAGACCTGAGTTCGGTCCCTCGGTTGTATTTCGATGCTCGCTGCGAACTTATACACGGAACGTCTTGGATGTGTGAGTGGGGCGCGTGACTTTCCGTTCGAGAGCCTGTTTTTTACACACGTCCCCGGCATTCGCTGATTGGCTGATTCGGACAGTTGCCTACCGCCACCCGCGTTGCGAGCACGTGACAGTGAAGAACCTATCCGTGTAGAAACCCTTTCTCCGTCCCCCCCCTGCCTTCACCAGTGTGCTCGTCGTCGACGAAATATGTATAAAGGGTAGCACACCGCGACACGCATGCATGTGCAATCGTCGTGAAACGTCACTCATTCCGATAGAAATGAAAGACACGAGGTTGCATCGAGTTCCTGGTTATCCAAACCTTTTCCTGGACTCGTTCCTTTCGATATATGTATAGTGGCACGATCGATTCGAGTACTGAAATAAATGATAAAATCGAATGTTAATTTGGCATAAATTTCAGCAATTGTGACGGAAGAGATGGTCTCCTACCATTTGGTAAATTTATTTCAGGTACTGAAATAAATGTTAAATCGAATTTTAAGTTGGCGTAAAATTCAGTAATTGCCGATACCAAGCGGTAGAAGGTCCTTCCGCTAGGGAAAAATGTGGCGTTGAGGAAGGGCCTTTTACCACTTGGTATCCAGAATTACTGAAATTTATGCTAAATTAACATTCGGTTTAATATTTATTTCAATACTTGAAATAAATATTGCCAAGTGATACTACCCTTTTCTTACGCCACTTTTTTCCTAGCGGAAGTTGAGTTTGCTCGCGAGGGTACATACGTATTTCAGACGCATCCATTTTATGTTCCAATTTCGAACGTCTGATCGTACGACGAACCTATCGAAAGTAACTGTCGCATTCACTTCCCTAAACAGGCGGTTCGTTGTAAGCTACGCGGGTGAGCCACCAGTCATTGCATACGGTGCATCGGATGATTAAAAAGGAAACACGTCCGAACGAACCGGTTCGTAGTTACACGATGCCGCAACGTTTGCGATTTTACGTAGAAAGTATCTCGACACACGATCCTTCAAATTTTAGTCAATGAAACCGCTCTGAACGTTGAATCGTCAACAGAGAAATGTATCGAAAGGGTAATCGAACCGTCTTTAGTCGGACAGTGAAGCTTTGTCGATTCCCATTTAATTATTAACACTAGAACTACCGATGATAACGTATATCGATTTCTATTGGAATGATAAACATGGCAAATTTATGAAAATATAGAAATTTATAAATCAATTTCTTCAGTTTCGAAGTGGAATAAAAGTTGTAAAATATCGGAGAAAATACGAATGTACCAACAAAGTCATTTTGACTGCTTTGGTAGTTCTAGTGTTAAGGAAAGATATTTTAACGTTCGATCGGAACAGCAACAAGTATTGAACGATTTCATTTTTATTGCGTTTCTTATGAAGAACAGGAAGAGAATAGATTCTACAACAGGCACGAAAATATAAGGAAACACGTTCCAAGCGATATATAGCGTGCTACATAATTTCGTGTACTGTGCTGTAGCACCGCCGATTCACCGAGTACCCGTCAAACAACTTGTCCCTGGTGTTATGAAAATGTACATGTATCATTAAAACGAACGTACCCGCCGTTAAAAAGGAAACAACGCGTCACGAGACGAATGGTTCTCGTTCCATCGCGATACTTAGGCACCGTGTGATCGCACATTTGGCATCTTGACGTCAACGAGGTTATTTTTGGTCGTCGATGTACATTTAGCACGGAACTACATCGTAGAATCACCGGGAACAGGACGCACAAGCGCGTCTGGACCGCGAATGTTCGCGGATAAAATCGCATTTCCTGATACGAAGTCCCGACACGAGTTTCATTGACTCGTGTTTAGGTGGCTCACGGAAATTTGTAATAATTATAAATTTAGTTGGAAATTTAACAGAACCATTCTTGAAAGCTCCAACTTTCGATTCTAACGCCCATATAGTCGACGCAGTGTCGAACAAACAAAATGTAGGAAAACCGTTACGAAGATTGAATCTCCTAAACTATTTGTAATACGGGAAAATTGTTTGTACAAAATTGAATGGCGTAAGGGGCCTATGTTGAATTTTTTTTCAATATTATAAAGAGATATGAAGGTCAAGTTTGTGATCTAAAAAGAAATATATACAGCAATGTCTCGATGAGTGCGACATACTCGGTTCCACTTCATAAATTTGTTTCTTGGGGGACTCCCCCAGTAGTGTGAATAACACCGTTTCTCGTGTCGCATTCATCGAGGAATCACTGTAATTCCATTTAAAAAAACCAAACTTGACCTTCGTACCTCTTAAAATAATAATGTTAAAAAAATCGCCTTGCCCGTCAATTTGCTCTGTCGTGCCATTCAATTTTACGAAAACAGTTTTCTCGTATTTCAAATAGTTAAGAAAATAACGGCCGTACAGTATTAGCGCGGACACCCTGTATATACACTCACTGGTATCGATCGATTTAACGTTTGAACTTGATTTCCTAACCGAATGTTTAGCCTAGAAACATTGATTGATCTTTGTAAATAGTGTGTCGATTGCACAGATGCAATAATATAAACGATACCTCCCGATCACGTTTACGGAAACGAAGGAATCCAAGCTGTCAAACTCACTCACTCTGAAATCGAGCAAATGATAAACAGTCGAATTTTCACTACCGGCTCGGGGAGCAACGGACAAATCGCCACACGATCTCGCCATGCGACTGCCGCGACGAACGATCGATCGCGTATCGGCTACCTCGAGGAAATGAAAGTCGAGGAAGGTTAAGGGCGTTGGAAATTTCCTACGCGTCGAGCTGATCCCCGCTGCGACGACGAACGAGATACATAATATGTAGGTTCTTCGATGTTTCGCCGATCGGGGAAAAAGCGTCAGGGTGAACAGAAACAACTACGAACCTTGAATGGAACCAAGGACCACCAGAGTGCTCGGCTAAACCCATCGCGAAACAGAACCACACGCGGATGACAGAACGAGAATAAGTATTTTCGAACACTTCCTCGGCCGTCGACGATTTAATGTATCCGAGTACGAGAAACCGAGCTATTTTCTATTTTTGGTACTTTCGTATGATGCAGTTTTCAACTTTTTCCTTCCATTTCAATTTTCTTCGTATTATATTTACAAAGAAATATATGTTATACAGTTATACAACGTCTAAACATATTTATGGACTACATCCATGTCCATCCATCAAGAACACATGTAACTGGCTGCAATATGTTGATGTACGCGTCATAGGAAGCATTATCGAATCGCGTGGAATCCGTAAACGGCAACCACGTATCGTGGATTGCTTTAACAGACCCTTTCGAGCTAAACGGGAGGTTCCGAAGTGCGCAGTTTAGCGGCAAACTGCGAATAAACGTAGAATAAATTCGCTCGGAATATCCGGGCAAGGTTACCTTTACACGCCGTTACGTACGACATGCCACGAAACGCATAATATATATTGCCCTAACGCTGCCCCGCCTATATCAGGCTGGTACGAATCTAACATCTAAGAACGCTATAGCGTGACTTAATTAGTAAACCTCGTAACTCCACTTTTCGGCAAATTTTGCATTTTAGTGTCATTCAAAGCACTCAAAATAAATGCATTTCCATAAATAATGTGCCGCAACTCCTGCAAAATAATACAATTAAAAGACCTTAATTATTTTCTGTAATTTAATTAGTTAAAGTAATTCTAACTTGGTTTATTGCCCTCCTGTAAATTAAATACAATTTAAAAAACTTAATTATTTTCTGTAATTCAATAAGTTAAAGTAATTCTAACTTGGTTTATTGCTCTCCTGTAAATTCCCGTAAAATGGAGTTACGAGACGGTATATCCGACAGCATGTTAGATGCGAGGATAATCTTTCCCCTTAGAAATGTCAAAAGAAGAATGTCGGTTTCTCAAGCAAGTATTCCGCCACGTTATTTTTACGCTTCGACATGATGTATAAAAAAGAAAAGAAAATGCGAGGTGTAAATGTGAGATAAAAATAAAATTTTCGCAGTTACCGCGCAAACGATGAACAAGTAGCTACAAAAATAGAAGCGATATTATCGTGAACCGTAGGGGGAATTGCCCTTTGCCCGAAGAACACATTTCTTTCCGATGATCTCACTCCGAAAGCTAACCCTTTTACTGCCGAACCACGATATATCGTTGCGCGTTAGTCACTATGCGCTTGGAAATGAAAATTACATTAAATTAACCCAATTAAAATATTATTACCCTTAATTATTTAACACCCTTGACACTTGCTGTGCATCATAGAATTATTATTTATTTAATTATTATTAATATTATATGCCCTCTGTTTTATTCGTAAATGCTGTTCCTAAAGGACCTCCAACTTTTCGAATTTTCTTTATAATAGTGAATAAAGATTATTAACATAATTGTCAACAAACATTGAAATAGTCATTAAATCTGTTTCGCTTTACTTCGTAATGTGTTTTTCTTTAAATATGGTAATTACCATTTAAAATTAAATTTTCATAATTTTGTTCTCAAACCTCTTACCAAACAAAACAGTTGTACTCGGTACTTTTCGCTCAGATTCAACTTTTCCGGTCGGCGTTAAAAGGGTTAACAGAAAATTCTGGATTTACTGTAATACACAGAACGTCGTTTTTCGCTATTGCACGAATTGCAATCGATGCCGGGCCGAAAAGTATCTGATTTTAATCGTGAACTTTATCTCCAAACCGTATCTGGTGTCGCGGGTGGTGTCGTCGATCGAAATCCAAAACGATAAAGTCGCATTGCGTGTCGTAATATTCACGATCCAAATCGGGCCGCATAATACAATGACGTTCCACTGATAACTTTTCCATCAATATTCTTCGACGGTCAATCGATATCTCTCGCGTTACTCATCGATGCTTTGGCGCTTACGAAAAGTACAGTGAGGGCACCGATGTAAAGAATTTTTCGATCGATCGTTCCGTTTGCCTTTCCTCTCCTTCCATTGGAACGAGTAGTTGCACGATGATCAATTGAATGGAACCCGTGGAAAACGATGATCGAAAGCTTGATGAACGAATGCAAAATCGGAAATCGATCTTTAGACCGGGTCAGACATGCGACCGAATTCGGGGCAAGCGTGATGAACGCGTGCTAACACGTGAGAAGTCGTGACCGGATCGATTTAGCTCCGCCGAGAGGTGTATAACGGCCGCGATTACGGCTCGTTTCATAATTGCTACGTAACTGTATGTTTAGTGACGCGGTCGCACGAATCAGCCAGCTCGCGAAATAACAATGTAACATCGCGAAAGAACGTCCTGTGCGCGCTTGTGTACGACTCGAAATACTTGTTCTTTTCTCGGAACGAAAAGACTACTACCGATTCGAGGTACCGGTTGATTCTATACAGTGGGTAACAAAAGTATTCGCACACCCTTTAAAACGGAACAACTGTTTTCAGATTGGTCCAAGTGACGTTGAGTTCATTTGCGAAGTTAGAAACATTAGTTTACTAAATATGTAAGCAAAAATTTGAAAAATGTGCAACTGGTCGGAATCGCAGAGAAAATTGTATAGGTCGCTTTTTACAACTTTGTAAGCGACAAAGAAGACATACATGCATACATATTTCATGCAACGTTTGTGACGGTGAATACGGTTAAACGACGACAGAGATGTTCGTTTCGAGACTGACCTAGAACGAATTTGCAGAGCGACCCGGTCGTAACTTACCAATCGGGGAAGAGTTCGTTTGCTTCGACCAAGATATCGCGAAGTAGTGTGGTGGCAGGTGGAACATGAGGTAGAATCACGGGCGCGAACACGCCGCAAACGCCGGCGCTACGTCCATGTCTGGTTTCGTACCTGCTCAGGTAGATCGCCAGATAACCGAGCAAACGATAGTGCGATGATGGCAGTGTCGATAGAAGCTCCTTCGTCAAGTTGAGCCAGCATTCGCGATCGGTCGTGTAATTCTCTGAAACGGTAGATTCAATGATGTTCAGTGAGGTCGCTAAAGGCGAACGTACAATGGTCCAGAATCAAAATTTAGACGTCTACCATTTCAATACATGTAGATCAAGGGTAAAAAAAAAAATTTAGTCATTAACTTATTATTAATCACGGAAGATTTGTTCGATTGCAGTATTGTCCTCTTTAGACCCTTTCGTATCATTAGTCTCAGTAAAGAAAAATATAGAGAAAATATTCTTTAAAAATTTCGACTTTCATAAAGTTTTTGAGAATACTGTTAGTGAATGATGGCGTCATCGAAGAGGTACCCTAAAATTGACAAAGATTCGTTCATTTATCTAGTTTGATTTATAGAAAAATTATAAGTTTGAAAATTGTTGATTGCTTGAAATAAATAATCGTAGGATCTGTTAAATTTTGATTCTGGACCACTGTGGGACGTAGCGGGGAAGCATTTTAGCGGCGAGAGTAACCGCCCTGTCAGCCACACCTGCAAAGCCAAATTCTGTCCAATGCCTGTTACAAAGTTAACTACAAATTTAATGCAAGATTTGCTATAAACAACCAGCGCGCACATTGACAGTAACATAAGCAGCAAATTGGCTCGCGCGAGAGTCTGTTTCGTTTTTGCCCCCAATTTGACACAGGTTATGTTGCAAGACATGCTGCCAATTTGCTTCACCATTCTGTCAGCTGGCGTTGCCTGCAAAATCCAAGTAAAATGCGGAAACAGGTCGAACTTGTACACATAGCACAGGACGCCTTGAAAACGGCTTAAAGGCGCCTTAGACCTAAAATAGCCGTAAAATGAGCGTCTTCAAGGCGTCATGTCCTATCTGGGCAACTTTTGTCATTTATTGCTGGTAACTTGCCTCGAAACTTGTACACATAGTACATGACGCCTTAGACCTAAAATGGCCGTAAAATGGGGGTCTTCAAGGCGTCATATGCTATCTGGGCAACTATTGTCATTAATTGCTGGCAATTTGCTTGAAACTTGTACACAAGTTTTTATCAGGGCAACTTTTGTCATTTATTGCCGGCAATTTGCTCGGAACTTGTACACAACTGGTTAGCAGGGCGATGTTCTTACGGGCATGAACAATCAACAGCCTGGCGACGATGGTGGATGCCACGACGGGTTGCGGTAATTCCTTGAGATATTGACGAAGAAGCGTGGCTGCGGTCGGCGGACAGGCCGCAGCCTCCAAATCGGCATCACCTCTTCTCTCGAAGGTGGCCCTCAGTCGTTCGGCCAGTCGCGGACTCCCGCCGGAAAGACGGAACACAGCGGCGCTTTGGAATCCATGAGCCTCGATGTAACTGCACAAACGATGCACCACGAACGGCACACCCGTGTCCAGATACGATTCCACAGAGTCCAGTCGAGCGCCGAAGACTTTCGTGGATCCTACGTTGCGTCCCAGCAACGATACCGCCAACACACGTTTCACTTTCGCCAAACGGGACTCGTCCTTACAAAATTCAATCGAACGTCGACCGGTTGAAACTTCCGTGCGCGTCTGGCTGAACGGAGATACCGTACACACGGATGGGCGCGATTTAAACGACCGATCGTACTTGGATGCATCGTATCTACGACGACCGGTTGGTTAAACGCGATTCCAAAGTCTATACACACATGTAGGTATATTGTATGTACACTCGCGGAACAAACTCGGCTTCCGCTAGGGGAAAAAACGGCGTAGGGATAAGGGTCTTCTACCACTTCGTATTGGGAATAACTGAAATTTATGCCAAATTAACATTCGATTTAACATTTATTTCAGTACTTGAAATAAATTTACCAAGTGGTAGGAGATCTTACTCTTCCGA